CCGGTCATGTTTTGGTGTCCCGGTCATGTTGTGATGGTGTCCCGGTCATGTTTTGATGGTGTCCCGGTCGTGTTGTGACGGTGTCCCGGTCATGTTTTGATGGTGTCCCGATCATGTGATGGTGGCGCGGTCATGTTGTGATGATTGTGAGCCCCGATCATGTTTTGATTGTGTCCCAGTCATGTTGTGATGGTGTCCCGGTCCTGTTTTGATGGTGTCCCGGTCATGTTGTGATGGTGTCCCGGTCATTTTTTGATGGTGTCCCGGTCATGTGATTGTGTCCCGGTCATGTTTTGATGGTGTCCCAGGCATGTGATGGTGTCCCGGTCATGTTGTGATGGTGTCCCGGTCATGTTTTGATGGTGTCCCGGTCGTGTTGTGACGGTGTCCCGGTCATGTTTTGATGGTGTCCCGATCATGTGATGGTGGCGCGGTCATGTTCTGATGGTGTCCCGATCATGTTTTGATTGTGTCCCAGTCATGTTGTGACGTGTCTCGGTCATGTTTTGATGGTGCCCTGGTCATTTTGTGATGGTGTCCCGGTTATGTGATGATGGTGTCCAAGGAAGAGATGGTCGATGTGTTGAAAACAGCAGCTGTTTCCAGATTTTTCTTTTTGTCCCGGTTTGTATCTTGCTATTGGGGTCTCCAGCTGGGCTAATTTTGTATAGGAAGTACTGAAATTGATGGCTCCTTACTTTTTGGGTTGAGTGCCCCGGGAGTGAGTTGCACCGAAATTATATGTATTTCAGTCAGGATGGTTATTTAATACCGTACAAGACCCGGGAGGCTTTCGGTAGGCCAATGGTCGCAGCGCTGTTGCACCATGGGTTCTGAAACACAAGGCTCGGCTGGACCCCAAAATCTCAGGAAAGACTCTTTGAGTTGCACTCCAAATTGGATGATTCTGGATCCAAAATCTCCGGAAAGGCTCTGTTGCACGACCAAATTGATCAACCGCAAGAAGCTCTCGGAAGCCACTGTTGGCGGCGCTTCGCACGCCTTGGACCTGTGCAGCCGGCGGATGACGAGCACGGGGACGTCAACGAGTGAAACGAGTGAGGCCACTGAGCTTCCCAAGGGATCCAGTCGTATCGAACCTCAAAAGGTACGACTGGACCCGATAATGGCACCTACATAACAACAGCGTCTGCCATCACTGTACCGAAGCTACTTGGATCCCCTACAGCTTGGTCCCCCATCTTTCCACTGGTTCTCTTCGGACATCACACCGGTTCTCTTCAGAGTTGACCCTGGCATTGAGGAATCTGACATGAATTAGATTTAATGAGCAATCCATACCAAAAGCAAGGTAAGGTGTGCGTAAAGGGAATGAAATGTATAAGAAATCGATCAGGACATCCAGGTAACGTAAAAGGAACACTGGGCTGGTTGTCGATCTATCCACACCACTCTCAGTACACAAGAAACAACATCCTAGCTTGAGTCTACCGGCAGCCTACCTACATATCATATCTTAGCCAGCTTGAGTCTCTCTCTCTCTCTCTGTGATGCTTTGATTGGACATCTTGGTACCGGCCCAATTGATGAACAGAACTTGGATCTGCGTGGCAAGAAGAATCAAAACATCCTGGAGTTCCATGTCCGGGTGGGTTTTTAGACCCTTAGTGAGTGGATTCTGGTCACTTATCCTTATCCTATATTTCTTCACTTATCGTCTGTCAAAAAGCACCGATCTTCCATGTAACTGGATGAGATTCCAATCTCTTTAGGTTCACCGAAAGCCCATGTAACTGGCCGCCCTGGCCCGACCATTGGCCCCATCTGAGAGGTGAATCCATCGGATGTACCGATGGACCCCACGAGCGACGGAAACCTCATCCGACACACCGCGGCGCCGCGAACTCCTGTCACAGCCCCCCTGCGGTCTGGCAACGAGGTTTCCGGAGGAACTCCCACATCCAAATCCGCTGGGCAGTTGGGCTTCTCGTGCCTGGGCTTTTGACTCATCGAAGAGAGTGGCGGGTTCTCTTGGTTCGTTCCCAAGGAGAAAAAGAGCAGAACAAAGGGAGAAGAAAAGGAAACCACACAAAAGCAGATGACAACGAAGGCGGAGCAGAACACAAATCGATCCCATTTCACACCCCAAAAAGTTAAGACTCAAAAGAAGTGTTCGGTGATGTTCGGTGGATTCTAGGAACATTTTGCCACTGATTCTTGATTCAATTCCAAGTTGAACATTCGCCTGGGGTGGGATGTCGGCCAAAACCAGTTCACCTCTTGGTTATGCTCAGTGTGTTGGGGTGTTGTCACCGTCCGCGTCTGGTCTCAAAGGTCTTGTGAGAAAGGTCTGATGATCAACAAACAGCGGCATCACTCCGCAGAAATTCGTCGAAGGCTTCGTCTCGAACTGCTGCCACCGTGACCGGATGTTGGAGATTTGGAGAAATTGGTCACTGACCTCCATGGCGGCCGCCCCTGTTTGGGGACGATGGCTCCGACCAAGTACCCCCAGAGGGTTCCACGCAACACCAGTGTCAGTTGAACTCCGTAAGTGCCGGAACATCATTCGTTACGAACGGTTGGCCGAGCATGCATCATAGAAAGAGCAGATCGGTAGGAGATTGAACCTTGCATGATTGAACGGTTCCCATCGTTCGATGGTCAACAAAACGTCTGACATTTAGTTATGACTTCTAGTCTACGCACTGCTGAAGCCAGCGGCTCGGTAAAAACTTGAATGACATGTTCCTTGATCTTTCCTTTCAAGCGCAGAAAGTGCTATAAACAACCAACCAGTGTATGTCATGGTTGACCAGAGGGTGTTAAAGTGGGCAGTTGCCTGGAACCAGCATGAATGACCACTACTACTACAACCCTCCAGAACTGCCTTCGGAACTGGTGTTCATGTTTTGGTGAACATCAATCACTTTTATTTCTTGCAGGGTTTGGTTTTGATGTTCATTGCACCGAATTCTCACCCAGCCGTCTGTCGTCCCTCGAACCCTTCCGGATCCTAGCCATACAGGGCCATACAGGCTAAGCAACTAGGCTACGTACCTCAACCACTCTCACTCACTCACTCACTCACTCACTCACTCTCTCTCTCTCTCTCTATCTCTCTATCTCTCTTTTTCTCCTCAGGTTTTGTTGGATCAGCAGATTCGACCCGTCAGTCACGTGAGGAAACATGACCGAAACCAAGGAGCGATTGAAGCGTCAGCAAAATGAACATCAGCATCTTGTTCTGTTCTCTGGGGTGTAGGGACGTGTCAAACAGTCCTACCTCTTCCCTCCTCTTCCCTCATCTTCCCCTACAACTCGCATGTTGAATGGGGCGAACCCAGAACCAGGTGATCCTGGAAAGGACAAATGGAGCATGAGAACGCTCTTTTTCACCCTGCTTGGCTCTCAAAGTCACCAAAGAGGGAAATACAATGCCCCGTTCCAGCAAAGGAGCTACACTGCAAGCAAAACTGCAATCTTTCAGAAGGGCCCATTGCGCCCTTCTAACGCTTCTAGCGGGCAAATCCAGCTCTGCTGCTTGTTGAATCAACAACTTCCATCAACTTCCAGCATGCTGGCAGTGTGGTCGTTAGGGCCGACCACCCCTCAAAACATGGAAGTGGAAGGGTATGGTACATCTGATGAGCGTGTGGTGCATCAGGAAAGAAGGAACTTACATATATGAACTTGTTGAGGCCTTGAGTTCCACTTCGCACTTTCTTGAAAAGGACTGAGAGGACCGGGAAATCCCCTCCTCAGGGAGGTCTTCGCCCCGGTTTGACTCCGCCATGAGAAGTCGAAGAAGTTACTCAAAGTTCACCAGGTTTCGCCTCATTGAAGATACTCAGCAGGAACTCCGTGAACCTCAGGGGAACCAGAAGGACGGTCTCATGTCACCCGAGATGGTTCCCAACATCTGGTGACAGCCATGAACGGTTTTGACCGACCCGAAAAAAAAGGGCCGGACTAGTCGTACGTCGTACGGCCCGGTCTTTTGTTTCGAAAATAATTCTTCACTTTTCTGCAGTTGCTGCGCGACAAAAACTTCAGTATTTTTTACAGTAAGTGTTTCAGGACTTGGTCGTGGGTGAAAGCAGCCCAAGCCTGCGAACGATCAAACAATCCACACACAGTGAAGACTCTTTGTGGGAGAACGCAACTGGATACAAGCAAGAGCCCAGTAATCAAACAGCTTGGCCTAGAAACACACTTCTGTACATCCTGAAACTTGGAACTTGAACTTTGAGGTCCTCCGGTCCTCCACCACCTAGCTTCATTGACCGGAAATTGCCCTCCCACCATCTCCAACCGTCTCCAAACCGAGCCGCGCCGGCACATCCGTCTCGCTGGCCACCCGCACTGTGCCCCGTGCCGCGCCGCGGTGCGCCCGGGCGATGCGCCCCTGGCGGCGGCCCTCGGTGTGGCCCTCGAGGTGCATCGAACGCCAGGTCGCCAGGGAGGGCTTCAGGTATAAGCCCGCAGTCAAGGTGTCCCACATGTAGTAGATCGCATTCTCAGCCAAAAGGTCGGAGGTTTGGGTGGCTAGGTGGCTTGCAGTTGGAATGTGCACTTGGGGTGAAAAAAAGAAAAGGTTGGTGTGTGTGTGTGTGTGATGTCTTTCGAAGTGCAAGGATTGAGACACAAATAGAACATGGTTGTGCAATGTTGTGTATTAAGATGCATTAAGATAGGGAGACGTCCCATGGGAAGAGTAAAAGTACACAAAATCCATTGGTGGGAGGGTCGACTGAGTTTCATACATTCATTCATCATGAACCCTTACCCTGTGTTTACCTTTAATCAGTTTCCTTCACTCTTACTTGCAAAATCTTGCAAGAACCGCGAGGAATTGTTCCAGAATCTCCAACAAATCACTCAGGTGAACTAGGTAAATACTTGCAAAGTTGGACAAAGCAACATGCCCTGCTGACGAAGAGAGTGACATGCTGTAGCAAAGCCCTCAACCCCCTTTGAAACTGCAGCTCCGCTGCAGGAAAATGCGTGAGTGCGCTGACCGCTTTGACAGCACGATGTGATGTTGAGTCCTCTCGGTGCAAGGACTCCGAGCTTCAAGCAGCCTATGTCATGTCTTTCACGACCGAAACCAATTAACTCTCAAGTTTCTTGGCTTCCTCTGTTGGGAAGTTGGATACCCGCAGCTTGCCCCACCAACTGCTGAAAAGCCGAAACTGCCAAGGGGCACTTTTTTGGAACTTCGACTGTGCCCAGATCTGCTGTGCCACCCGTGGCACTTGATGTCTGGGATTCAGTCGTTGGATGAAGTCTTTGTGGACTGGGACCTGATTTCAAGTCGTCACACGACGTACACGACGAGGCGCGAAAGGTCTGGTTTTTTGGTCGTCACACAAAGCGATGGATCCAAAACAACGTCAGAAAGCGGTTTGAGTGGTTTCCTTGCCCACCCTTCATACCCTTCTCAGGAGGTAGAGTATGTGGATTATTTGGGGCAAGGAAACCACTGTCAAACAGACCATGTTGGATGCATATATGACCTGGAAATGTAAAAACCTTTTGAGAATGTCCGAATCTCAAGATTCAGCATATTCTGAATGCCCCCGCACCTCCAGCTGGACTAACATTTGGATGACATGGCTTTCGAGACCAATCTTCAAGTTTCATTATGCGAAATGGTGAGCGCAGAGTGTGGATGATGGTTACCTACTACCCTGACTGGGCAGCTTCCCCTATCCATGTTGCTTTTGTTCGTCGTATACGTTTGGCACAAATGGATCTACGGGGACCTGCAGACTTACTCTGCCGAATACTATGAACACCGGGGTCCCACAGCTCTTGCTCTCTTTCCAAAGAGCCAGCTGCATGTTCTTTTTCCCGCAGTGATCGGAATCATAGCTGGTAATTACAGTTTCTGTTGATCCGACTCGGAACCGCAGTGTCGGTGGCCTTGCACAGTACGTGTTTGGCTCTCCAAAAGGTCAAGTCAACTGCTAAAGACCGACGAATCCACGTCGAACCGCTCCAACCGGGGCCCGTCTCCCGACCACGGGACTGCATTGGTCGCATCGAGCGGCACCAACCACCTTGGATGCATTGGTCGCAGGGAAGGGTTTTTCACCAAAATCCAAGCACAAACCTCCGTTTGAGATAGGCCCTTTGCCTCCATGCCAAAAAATGAAGAGAGTTTATGCAGCCTAGTCCCAGAGTTACAGGAGTGCTCGGTGCTTTTGACATGCCAACGACCATGTGAAGCCACGAACATGCCGGAACATGCCGGACCCCACTTCACCCAAGCAAGATGACCACGCCCGCCACGCCCAAGAAATCCCACCCCTAAGGGCCCACCTACTCTGGAAGAGATGGTTGCACCAACTAACCTTGCCAATGGTTTTCCTGTATCTGAATCATTTGTCTTATCCACAGCGGGCCAAACAGTAGCACGTTGTACAGTGTTGGTTCTGTTTCTGGTTTCGTTCATTTCACACGTTCACTCCGCGTGCTACTGAGACGATTCATGTTTCATGTCCCACCACTCAAAACCATCCACCGCAACCTGCGACCTCAACCGCCAGGACCTCGACCGATTTGCCCGCTTCATGCGCCCAGATGCAAATCCAAGTTTAGCTCCAGAAGTTCTCGCGTGGCCAAGGGGTCCCAATAGGCGTTCCACTCTGCCGAGCCGTCACTCCACTGCACTTTACCCGGCTCATCGCTGTCCTCGTTTCCAGGCGACTTGGGGAGACCAAAACCAACGGCACTGTACCAAATCACCTCGACTCTGTACTACAAAGGGATGAAAATGATTGCTCTGAAATGCCCAGAATTGTTGACCGAAGCTATCAAAAGTTTGTCATCCGTGGCCCCTTGGATGAATCCAACGTAATATAATCCAACTCCCTTTTGGGCAGCCCGGTGCCAAGTGGTCCATCTACCATATGCTGCCACGGGACGCGGACGTTGCCGTCCACCTCCACCGCCCCGGCCATCCAGAAGACGCGGCCCACCTTCGAGGCCAGGTGAGGCCTTTGGCGCAGCGCCCAGTTGAGGTTCGTCGCCGGGCCCGTGAGGAGGAAGTCCTCGAGGCCGGCTGAGGCGGCCATGAGATGGCCGGCTGAGGCGGCCCGGTGACAGGCGCAGTGAGGACGCAAACCGGACCACTCCATGATTGGAGAGGTGGAGACGAGACTAGGTGCATGAGTTGCTGATTTGCAAGGGGGGAAGGTGTTTGAAGACTTCTTGTTGTTTTTGGATTGAATAGTTCTTCTGGCTGTGAAAAAGGTGGAAACCGTTCACAGATCTTTCACCAATACGCAGGAAGAGGAGTTGAGCTTGCTAGAGATGGTTGCCGCACATGTCTCGTCCACTTTAAAAAGACAACACATGTGCATGCCATTTTATCTAGTTCAGTGATAGTGCTGATAGTGATGTTCACACGAAACCTGCAACTCCAAAGAACAGGCGTCCGTCTTCTCTGAAGCATTGCCCAGATAGCTTTCCAGCCATTCATGCGCAGCTTCTGATGGGCGATGGATCTCAGACTCCTGCAAACAGGGTGTTTCTGGATCCATTCATCCCTCAGAGCATCTTACTATATATATATATATATATATATTCCTAATCAGTTGAAATATATTCGATCCCATTTGAAGACTTCTAGGGCCACCGGAGGTCGAAACAGACCCTCTCTATAAATCCCAGTACACCTGGGTGTTGTTTTGTGGGTCTTTTTTGAGACGAAGATCGACCCTGACACGCTCCGACCTGCAAATAGATATCCGCCACCTGCTGCATCTCAGAGGCCAACCTTGGACGACGAACGGACCGACGACTGAAACACCAAACCTGGGGGGTCCCTTACGGTCCCTTCGGTCCAGGGGAAGAAAGAAAGGCATTCGGAAAAGGCATTCTTCAGAACACCTTCGGCTCATATCGTCTCTCCCTGGACTGTCCAAGAGATTTTCGGTTATCCAAAGCGCGTGCCGTGACGATCGAGTCAGTCCTTCAACAATGCCAAAGTCGGACTAAGTGAGGTGTCTTTTGGAGAGTCCCACTAGCCACTACTTGGGTGTGCACGTTGTTTCATGAAATAGAACTCCTCTGAGTCATTCTAGTTCAACACACACAATTGTTCAAGCCAAAACAAAAGTACATGTATCATGCATTAGTGCAAACAAAGTTGAAGTCTCTCTATATATGTATATATATAGGTGGACCAAAGATGCAAAATCACAAAACATTGCCAAAAACACAAAAAAACACCTTCCAAACATTGGCCCAGGAACTCTCTCCAAACTTTGGGAAATGGGTTGTACCTCTCCGGGAACTGCCCGGGCACCACGGGCACCGTCCGGTTCAGCATGGCCAGCACCCGCCCGGTGACTTCCACTGCTGGGTCTAGTTCGCAATCCGCGGGCGTAATGAGCACCGCCTGCAGATCGACGTGTTGACTCTTGAGCAAGGCCAACAGGACCAGGATATCCTCGGACGCAGGTCCGTGGGTCTGTCGGAATGGGCGGCCAGTCGGTATTGGTCCAAAGGTCTCGGAGACTTGTTGAGATTTTGTCTTTACTTTGACCTTTCAAGACCCATAACAAAGAAATCATTTTAAGGTTGTTGTTTTGCTAGAATCAAGGATGGTTGTTGAAACGCAGATCTCTGTGCAAGACTTAAAAACAGCTGACACGACACTGCGTGCTCAGACCTACAGCACCAACAAAAACAACTAACTCAAAGTGCTAAGACCTACGGCTCCCTAGCAAGCTCGCAGCAAGGATCATCGTAGTTGCCATCATGGTCCAGGATCAAGGGCTTCTTTGGCCCGTTGCACTTGTTCCACTCCTCTTCGCCCGCGAGGTCTGGTGCTGCTCCCACAAGGAAGGTCAGGCCACACAGGAGTGCCAGCAGTAGCGGCATGACGGGCAGCGCCGCCGGCAGCGCGGCAGTGGGCAGCTGAGCGGCGCCGTGCGAGTCCTAAGAGCTAAATGAAGAGCTGAGCAGCCGTTGGGTCTTGGGCTTGTTGGTTCGGATGAAGCGGGGCCTCCATGTTTTGAGAGGGCCAAGCCAGTCTGGATGTGGCAACTCCCTGATTCTCTTCGGCTTCATTTGAGATCATGCAACTGGCGCGGCAGGAAGCCATGAAAGAAAGCATAAGAAAGCCATGGAGACGAATGAGGATCTTGTAGAAGCAAGGATGCTAGTAGTAACAAGTGCCACGCTGCGTTCGTAACAAGTGCCTTACTAGTAGTAACAATGTTTGCTATCTTGTCCACACCATGTCCAAGTCATCACCGATGCGAGGCCGGGATGGATTTGGTCCGCCAAATGTCCACAGATGGAAACCTCCAAACCCATGTGGTGCGTATTTTAATAGAGAGACCTCCCAACCAATGGGTTTGGGTACATTTCCCTTCTTCCAGGGTCTTTGGGAGGTCTCCGGGCAGTCTTTGACTTAGCAAAATAAGTATGTGGGTGCATAAGTCCCAGCTATTGTATGCCCTGCATAGTGTGTCACAATCAGAGAAGAAAACTAGCACCAAGAGTCGAGTTAAATCGAAGTTGAAAGGGGATCCATCCTTAATTATATAGATCTCTTCGACAACGTAGAATCGTAGAACTGTACTTGAAACATCTGGAAACCATGAGTGCAAAGCCCAAACTACAGTAATTATAAACGTATTCTACATATTTGTGTAAATGTCGCCCCATCCCATCGCCTCTCTCCCTTCTTTTGCCAGATTGGACCAAGGACGACATTTCGCCATGGCCAGAAGGGCTGTGGCGATGGCCAACAGCGAGGGAAAAAAAGATCCGTGAATCGCCTCTTCTTCGGGTTGGAGGCCATCGCTGTAGGTTGGAGGCCATTGCTAGTAGGGACTCACCTCCATGAGACCGTGTTGGTGCAGCATCGCCGAGGCCCGATTCACGTGAATCGGCCCGTCGTCGGGTGGAGAAGCTCCGCCCCCGAAAAAGGCCAGGGCCGCTTTCGCGCTTGCGCGGTGGCGCGCTGCCGTGCAAAGACCGTGCTAGGAGCAAGCCTTCCCAGTTCGCGAGATGTCGCCCAAAAGGGATGATGGGGTCCTTTTAAAAAGGAACACTTGTTGCACATGTGTCTGCTTGCACCGAACTTCTTGGAATCTGATAGTTCCGATAGAATTATGATCATCATGTGAAAGTCTTTGGCCCTCAAGAGAGGGAAATTCACCTCGGGATGCAAAATGTCCTTCAGTAACCAGCCTGCACCACACTAAGCACAAACAAGCTCATCACAATAAGTTACACTAATTGTTTAAATAATGAAGTATCTTGCCTGTACATCAAATAACTTGTTAGTGAGGGTGGCCCCATCAACCTGACCACAAAGGTAAGACTTGTTTAAAAGGTGGTCGGTATACGGCATGGCCCACTGCAAAAAGCCAACCGTAGTGGGTGAAACAAAATAACAGGCAACTACAGCATTGCGGAAAGCGTCCCATCGTCCCAAAAGCCACCTGCAACTGGGAAAGGCTCTCTCAGTCTCGAATTCCCAGCTTCATTTGGCACCTCGAATTCCCAGCCGTTTCAGTCGAAGAGCGTCCGCCGAGTCCGTCGAGTGCGGAACGACCGGGACCGAGGCTGCATGCATGAACACCTCCCCTCCTTTGAAGAGATTCAATTATATACTATATTTGGAGAGGATCAGGTATTTTGATGTATCCTGAAGGAGCTTCTGAGGTGAAGAAGGAAGACCAAGACCTTGTCCATGAAACGAACCACTCAGTCCTCCAACTTGCCACGTGAATCCCTCTGAACATGGTGGATGTCTGCCTCGACAAGCTTGGTACAGATTGGTCGGACTCGGTGAGTTTCCCCTCATCCCATCTTATCCCCCGTCACCCCTTTTGGGGAAGAATTCTTTGACCCCGCAACATCCCGTAGCCCTTTTGGAACAATTTGGAGCCCCCCCCCAGGCGCGTCCAAGTTCGCCATATGATGCCATCTTGTAACCTGATGCAGTGACGTCTCCGACTTCTCCTGTGCTCTACCCATTCAGCCATGATTGGTTTCCCACTCTGTCCCTTTCAGTTTCCTTGCAACCCGCTCCCGCTTCGCGCCCGTGCGGCCTCTCCAGCATCTCGAGACCCGGAGGGTCGAGATTCCGATGTTCCGTCACGCGGCGCCCCGGCCCGGCCTGAGCGTTGAGAGTGGGTTCAAAAACACCAAATATCACCAGAATGGTAGAGAGTGGGTTCAGAGTGGGTTCAGAATGGTAGAGGAATATCACCAAATATCACCAGGTGTAAACGTGTAAACGATTCATGACCATTCTGTTCAGATTTGAGGTACTAATTTACCATCTGGTCTACCACGGTATACTGGTATACCTATACTGTACTCATACCTACTTGCGGTTCACTTCATGTTTCCTACACAGCGTCTTCCACATGGCCGGCCTTGGCAAGGGGCTCGACGATTTTACGCGCCTGACGCCGGCGGCATGGTCAAGTGTTGCTCTTCAGGTGGGGTGTCACAATGCCTTCGGAAAGCCTTGGGGAGATGGTGTGAGGTTTCAAGTAGAGAACGAGGTCACTGAGACAAACAAAATTACTTTGGGATCCCGGGGGAAGCTTTACCAAGATTTTGTTGGATTTTAGCAAGAAGGAATCCAGTTTTTCTATTGTCTGGCTTCACTTTGCCATGTACCAGGCTTTCATGTTTTGACATGCTTGCCCCCGTCTCGTGTTATTGTCGCAGGGGAGGCAGTGGGCAACTGGCTGATCCAAGACTGCCGCCCTAGCCCCTATATAGATATCAGTGGATGTCAAACCCAAACTCGGGATTCACGTCAACTACTGTACATCCACAAGCAATGGCTTTGGGACGGGAAACTCCACCAGTTTGGGGCCGGCTCGCGCATTCCGTCCGCAGGCCCCGGGCGCGAGTCGAAGGTGCACCTGGGGCTCAGCATCCGCAAGGCATCACGCACCCGCAAGGCAGCTGGGGAAGAGTCGCCTGTGGGCGTTTCCAATGGCCTTGGTCGCCAGACCAGGGATCTTCTAACGTGGCGCACGTCCAAATGGTCCAAATCCTATGTGGTAGTGGGATATGTTTGAGCCATAGCCAAATTACATATTACAACTAGTAACTATATAGTAACTACTAGATACATACTACAACCAGTAGCAACACGTACCCACATTGTCCGCACAGAAGGGGCAATCCACGTTGAGGCCAAGGAAGCTGCTCTGAACTATATATGGATCTGAAACTGGTGGAACCAATGAACCAAGCTCTCAGATCCTTCATCTACAAAAAGGTAGGATTATTTATATATGATGATGCTGCATCTATAGAATCTAGATGAATCATGATGAATCTAGATTGCACTCCAACTCGCCACAATAGAGGTCTTGATGATTGTTTGTAGCAGCTCCTTATGATCCAACACCTCAGACTCACCAGCTTTGAGCCGCTCCGATCCTATCCTCCATTCGGACGTCCCCGGCGGGGCCATTGGAGGGCTCGGCGTGCGGAAGGTGGCCTGGGAAGACATGGGAAAAGGTTTTAAAAAAAAAGAACCTGTTGGAAGAACTCGTGGAGTCTTGAAGAAGTCATGGAACTCGTAGAACTCAACGCCAATCCATTTGCAACACCTCTTCTGCAACGCCAATCGGTTCTCTGCAAATGAAGCAAACCAAACCGGGTGATCTGAGATGCAGCTGATCGGATAGTATGAGAGTTGGAGTCAGAGGGACATCTCTCTACCGGTCGAGAGTCGCTGATGGTTTTTTTGGGTCGGTGAACCTTGCTGAGTAGACCTCAAGAACTTGTTGGGGAAAGGCACCGATTGGAATCTTCTTAAAGAGTACAGCCTTAAACGACCTTAAACACACTCGGCACCTATTGTATTGGTGGCTCGCCGCACTGCTTTCTCTAGCATATCTCTTTCGAATCATTTGAGCAGGGGGCATCCTCCACCAAGTACTCTCTGACTGGTGGTGCCCACCTCAAGCTACACTTGTAAAGATATTGGCCCTTGGTGTGTGTGTGTGTGTGACTCTGTTTCAAGAAGCATCTTTCCTCAAAGTGTTCCCAGTTCATCCAAGTTCTGTGATGTACTGATGCACTTACTTAAATTCCGAAGAAGCTGAATGCCTTCTACTTTATCTGCAGCCAAAGTCACGATCTGCGGCCTGAGATCGCTTGCACATCAAACGGTCACGGAGAGACGCGAGAACTGGAGATGGGCGCCAGTGATTTCTTTAAAAATAACGGGGGTTCCCATGCGGGGAACTTGAAGAGGATTGGCAAGAACCTGAACTGGACATCTTGAGCCTTTTTGACCAATAATACACCCATATACACCATCATACACCTGTTGAATGCTCTCCGATGTGAGGGTGAGTCATGCCTTTGGATCCACAAAGTTTGTTCAACAAACACCTACCAAGAGGGACGAACAGGAAATGCAGCACTACGAGCCAACATGCACAAGCTTCTGGCGCGAGGACCTGTGTCACTTGCCACAACTAGGCGTTTGATAGGTCGACCCACTGTGAGTCATGAGCCGACTTGATCATGGGTTCGCTTGGGGCCATATCCACTCCATAGCAGTATGTGTACTTCCCCCTCCTGAGCGGAATCACTGGAGCAAAAAACAAGGTCTTCCAGATCGAACACCACCTAAAACTTGCTCACCTGCAACATGAGCGCCATATTCTCCTGGCTTTCACCAAAAGACGGTCGCCCAAAGGCTGGACCCAAAGACGCAACCCGAATCAGGCAGATCGTCCGAAGGTCGCTAGTTCGGACCATCCCTTCATATGAGATCAAGAGCAAACAAGGCTTCACCAGATTTAACAGTAACATCAATGATAAGGGATGAAAGTCATTGCTCGGTGGCCCTGTCTATGCACCACGAGACGCAGTCCAACACAGTCCACCAGGCCAACCGGGCGGGGGAGGCGGATTCACCGGCGGCGGCGGCCAATAGCCTGAAACGATGAAGTCTTCGACTTCGACCAAAGGTTTTCGGTTGATGGGACCCGGACTGGAGGATTCACCTACTTTAGAAGGACCCCCCACGGGTGTTTCATATATATTGGGTGTATACAGTATCTTAGTACTTATCTTAGTATGTTTGAATCGGGGCACCTCCAACCAGGTGCAAGAAGTCACGTTCCACCTCTTCTAATCAAGCTGCAGGCCGCAGGCAACAACATGTGCTTTAAGCGGCCTAGACTATCCTGAGTACACCAAGTGACTAAACCCACAAGACGAGCCCAGCCACTTGACAAGTCCGAACCACAAGCTTCAAGGCGATGGTTCCGCAACAAGGCCGATGGGCCGATGGCGGCTCTTTTGTGCCGTTCTCGCTCAACAAAGTCGGGTGATGAAAGTCGTGCGCTCACCTTTACTTTCATCGCAATCGTAGAAAAGAAAAACACATATATATATATATGCATAATTACATCATATATACTATATGTATATACATGTCATGTCGAGTGGAACCGTTGACCCAGTCGCAGGAATGGATCCCAGTCGCTGTGAAGACCGGTGAGGCCTCAAAAGGACGCCTTTCTGAAGTGGTGGAAAGAATCGGAAAGAAAGGACGCTCAAAAGCCCAAATCAAAGGCATCCACGTAAGTCATGACTCATCGGGATGAGGCTTTCTTTGGTGTGAGGAACCTATATATAGTTACATTGGTCATGTCCTGTAAAACCAAAACCATCCAAACATCGACCATCAATGAGGAAAAAAATCAGCGCTGAGATCGTTTTCTTTGCGGTCCGAAAAAGAACCCTGATCAAGACCATCAGTCATCAGTTATAATGCCGTCATCAGTGGTGTCTTTTTGCGGCCTTGAGGAAGAGAACGCTCCAGAGGTCAGCCTCTTCAAATGACGGTCTTTGGAGACGGCTGACTACGGCGTGTGACGTCGTTTCTTCTGCCACCCAAAAAATGGGTTTGGGGTTTCGGACGAGGCGATGTGAGGCTACGCTCCTATGTCACCCAACCCGCCCCAAACCCCCTCGGATTGTCCGTTCGCCACGGGGGCTATGGGGCCATGGGACCGGACCCTGACCCCGCCTGTGCTCGGTGGCACCGGCGAGGCGCGGGAGGACGCACTGCGCGCGCTGCCGAGGCTGCCGACCTGGGCCCGTTGGAGCATGGAGGCGGCCGACCGAGATGGGAAGGAGTAGGGAAGCTTTAGTATAGTGCCATCTCCCTCGGAGGGATCAGTATAGTGGAAGTGGGTTCAGTCTAGTGCCTTGGAGGGATCTCGTGCATGGACGAGAAATCTCCCATGGGCTCCTTGTGGTTCCTTCCCCCGGGTCCGTTGCCTTTCATTGGAAAGCGTCACACAACGACCTCCCTCTCCCACCTCCAGCTCTTGCCGATGCCACCCTTCGCCTGGGGCGAGAAATGGCGAGAACAAGAAGAGCGACCCCCACCGAGGCAGTTCGGTGAGGTGGAACACCTACCGATTCACTGGGACATCTCTTGAGACTGGATCCACTGGAACGACCAACATCGATGCCATGCTCGGATGGGAAAGCCGGCAGCTCCGCAATCTCCGGTTTTTGGCCCGGAAATCCCAAAATACCGGGTCAAAGACATGGACATCCAGCAAGGTAGAATCAAGCAGCTCCAGAAGACCATTCTGTTATGGAGATCTCTATCAAATCATCATGCAAATTATCGGGGTATGACTGTATGACCAAAGAGCATCAAAGGGCAAACGATGGCAAAGGTATGTTTGCTCGGGTGACCAATGTGGAAGGTGGAGAAAACCCCCACCTTGAGGAGTTTCCCTGCTGAAACTTTGCACCAGGACATGTGGGAGTTTGAGCTCAACCCGCCGATCCACCTTGATGTCTCGAATCCCGTCCATGCAAACCCAATAAATACAATCTGCTTACTGCAGCTGTTTGAGACTTTTGAGAGTTGATCAGATCCTTGACGAGGCTGGGTGTGTGGAGCTGGTTTTCTCGGGTCATATCTTACATCTCAGAGAACAAAACCGGAAGAACGTCACTGGCCTCCTTCCATGTCATAAAATCCATGGATGAGTTCCTTCCATTTGGACGAGCTCAATAGCCTGCCTCAAACAATCTCTGGGGGGAGCCTTGTGGCCTCAAGATTGCGGCCAAGAAAGCAGATTACGAGGATCGATGGATGCAATGTTCTTTCTCATCCCATATCCAAACAAAAGCCAGTTCGTTAGCCGCATGCCCCTTTGGCCGCTGGCAGCCTAACAGCAGACAACCAGCCCTGCGGATCCTGCCTACCCCAGGGATTGGGAGGCTCCTTACATCAGCGGCCGCGTCGATGGGTAACGATCTCTGAAGGAGGTGTGCGGTACCGGATAAGGCTGAAAGGGAAACTGACGTGGATCTCTGACTGATCCACTGCCACTTGAGGTTGTAAGCTAAATATGGTAAATGGACATGCCGGCATATGTGACATCAGAAGTGAATGACCCCATATGACCCCATATTTCGAGTGATGGCCATGGTTTTTCGGTTCTTTCGCCTTTGTCATTGCCTTTCCAGTACTGGTTTCTCTTCAGGCTTCGACTCTTCTGGCAAAAGCCATGGAAGGCACCTCATGAGCTAGCTAGCACCCCATGATCCTGGCCAAAGCTGCCTGACACTCACCGAGCTCGGTGAACATGTCGCTCTCCCGGTCGACCACCGAGGCGGCGGGCCGGGAGTCCCGACAGAGTGACCCGGTGTGGCGGGAACGGCGGTGACTGGCCTCAACCGGTTGCATGGACCATGAACTCATCTTCGCGCGGAAGATCCATTCACCAAATCCAACCAGAAAACTCGGAGAACTCGGAAGAACCTCAGAACCTCAAGTCCTCAATGTGTTTCCATCTGACGACTCGGTCGGCCTCTGCTTTGTCCAGGCGAGGAGCCGCTCCTGGAGTGATGAAACCGGAGACCTCTTCAAACGCCACAAACGCCACCCAGCTCGAAGTTTGGAGGCTTTGGATGGGAAAACCTAGACAAACGATGCTGATTTGGGGGTTCCTTTTCCCTGCCAGTTCTGGTAGTTTGCCTGAAACATCCTGAAACAAAGCTGTGAGAACCCTGCTCTGGAGTTGTAAAGGTGATTGGAGAGTCAATTGATCTGCACAATGCTTATGAGTGGCGGGATTGGTATCTGCAATCTTGAAGAGACCCTCAAGTAGATCAAGAAGTCATCATTCATCAATATGCTGGAAACCTTCTCTCCAAGACAGAAGGCCCCACCAAGAGACTCACTCAGCTAAACTTGCTCTATTGACATCTGGTCAGCTGGTCATGAACACGCTTTAAAACTTTTCTTTTGAAGCCATGGGGGGACCTCTTGCACCACGGATTTCTCTTGCTTTTCCAAGCTGCATGGCTCCAAAGCGATCACCTCCGGTGCTGCGGCCGGCTTGCTGAGCCGGGTCCAAGATCACCGTGTTCCAAAAGCTCAAATGGGGAAGGTGAACAACGGCTACCTTTGCCCCCACTTAAATGCTTCTGGCATGTTCTGGCACACTTTTGACAATTTTGTTGGAACTTTCTCCTGGGGTGGCCTTCTGATCGAATGCCGGGACATCGTATGGCTCTATAGGCACTTGAAGACTTGCCTGCTTCCACAAATACGCGCTGCTAAACAGCGAGAAACAAAGAATACCAGCTTCTCAATTTCCTCACCCCAAGCTCGGCGTTTCTGTGGGCCACCTGCTTCAAAAGCCCACATCTTTGGGTTTGATTGAGGAGTGGAAACGGTTTTCTGCCTACAAACATCATGAGAAGTAAAACCACAGGCCAGAGACGATCGATGGCCAAGTCTAGACTCCAACAACTTTACCTTCCAGCATAAAGGCAAAAAAGATCTGCCAATATAAAGGAATCTGTGTTTATTTAGCTATCTCTCCTAATTGTACAAAATCAAGAACTCTTACCCAAACCAATCTCAACTGATGTTAAACATCACCACCCCAAGAGCCCCAGAATCCCAGAACCCTATTAAATCCTATTATGCCTATTATGTACACTGTTTGCTTTAAGAGGCCGATCCGTGAGTGCTCCATCCCATCCGGCTGTGCCTTCCAGCTGAAGGGCCTCACACGTCGCGACGGCGCGCCTGAGATTTGATAGGTATGGTATGAGTAAAATCACTCAGCCAATAAAACGGTCATCATCTGTGTGACCCCTTCACAAACACCTCCTTCACCCGCTGCGTGTCAACAACCAACCAGGACTTGGCTTCTGGGATGGTGATGGTGATAGGTGACAGTCCCTTGCGTTATGTTTCAGACCATAACTTTCTCAAACCTTGGACGGCTTACTGCAATTACTTTTATCGCAAACGTGCATGCTGGGGGTGCAGCTGGACCTGTTGTGCCTGCCTTGTAAATTTGAGCCGTATGAGCGAAGCTTCTTGTTCACCCCCAGACTGTGCAGGATGGACCGGCAAACTCAACCTCTTGGCTTCAGGAGATCTCACTTCGTACTCCACTCGCCTCGCCTGGCGAAGCCCTGCGCCCGTCTCCGGCGAGGCCAGCGTCACAGGCAGCACCGGTCCAGCGGGTGAAGGCACCGCCTGGTGGCCGAGTGGTGAGTTTGGTGCATCGATTCCAGTGGATTTGCTGGACATGTTATGACATGGTGGCGGTTATGGTGGGAGGTTGGCACTGGGACCAACCCAGTCCATCAACCTCTCACTTCGCAATGTGACCCACTAAACTGGAAAAGGTCTGGCAACAGCGGCGGCTTAGTGGAAGGGGTCCTGAAAAAGGGGGCGAGACGCTTGCATCGAGACGCTGCGTTCGTTTGTGCGCCTTCGCCGTCAGGCGCCTCACATCCGCCCGCAGCTCGTTGGTGGCCTCCGGCGCCGGAGGCGGACGGCCTCTGACCCAGCGCAAACGCGGGCGTTGGACGTTCCCTTCAGCTCCCAGTCGCCCAAAGCTCCGGTCTGCCATCCCAAAGCGGAAGAAGCTGTGATACGAGGAAATTGGGTGGGTGGGTCAACTTGGTATCTCAGGTGGTGCTCTGGGATCTCTGGGTCCAGCTTGTAGCAGGCGGGTGTCCCTGCAAGCTCCGAAAAGACACTCCCGCCAATCTTCACCTCCTCTCAGTGCTCTCCATGGCCGGTTCCAGCAAACCATCGCAAGACCATTGGCCAAGTCCCAACATCCCAAGTCCAGCATTCAGGGTGCACCTCCAAAGCCACATGGGTGACCAGCAAAAGTACAAGAAAAAATATAGTGGATTCAGAATAAATAGATGGCAATTAGATGGCACAATCCCCAAAAGGTAGTTTATATGGATCCCCATCTACAAGATATCTTCAGGTTTGTATCCCATCGTTTGTATCATCTACTCAGAAACCACTGGCCGTACTAGTAGGAGCAAAGGGCATCGCTACTAGGAGCAAGGACGCTACTAGGGGCTCCTGGCCGTACTACTAGGAGCAAGAAGCTACTAGTAACAAGGGCATCGCTACTAGGAACAAGAAGCTACTAGGGGCTCCCACACACGACCGTTTCACGACCGTTGGCCACTCGCCTCGATCATCCGATCGCGCTCCGCCACCGTCTGAGCCAGTTGGGCCTCACGTGGTAGGGCCCCGCTTGCTCATCTTCCAGTCTCTCCTTCTGAGCTCAGTCCCCACCCAAGGATGCCCGCATATCACTAGACCCCGTAAGGCACTCCTGGCTACAAATCGCAAAAACCCGAGTCTTTCTTGGGGATGTACTTGGGTTTCTGAAATGGGGTGGTGAGTTCCCCTCACAAATGGTGTCTATTATATGCTTCCAGTATTGCAAGGCGATGAGAAGGACCTTGGGAGGAGTCTCCTTCATCTAGTTGAATGCAAAGGCTCCATGAACATCAGGTTGAGGGGACACACACCTACACCTGAGTGGAAAGGGGCCTGGCAAACAGGGGCCCACTGAACAAACCAAGATCATAAGTTTTGACCATACATTCCCTGCTTCAATTGGGAAGATATCCAAGTACCAGTAATGTGGATTGGTCGCGACTCATTGGTCCTGTATGTAGCTTGCCGCCTTGCTCAAAGCAGAGGCAACCACATTTGTGGACCAACAAACCAACCCCTGATCGTTTACTTCCATGAACAATCGACACATCCTGGATCTAAGTGTCGATCTCATCAAAGAAGGCTTAGTTTTGAGCTACAGGGTGTGGGTCTAACAGCTTTAAAAAAAAGCCCAGCTAGCAGCTGGAAGTGCTGGATTCGCCTTTCAGTCTTTCACACAGTCCGGTATCCGGGTGCTGCATTACCCATCCACCTCCCACAAGTAATCACAGGCTTCGGCTTTAAAAAAAGAACGGAAAGGATTGCTTTCCCCAAAAAGAATCAAAAAGAAACCTACAGAACTTCAGTTTGAAGGCCAGATTTCGAACTCCCAAGCACTCTCACGCCCCTGGCCTCCAGCATTCGCTGCTTTTGTGCCCAAGCTTCCTGGCGGCCGGGTGGTTCAAACTCCAAAAGACTCAATCGATCTCCTCATGCAGTTCACAGAGCTCAAAGAAAGCTTTACTAAAAAGCTTTATTGTTACGTTCGTAGCGATGGCCTCCAACCCATTAGCGATGGCCTGCACCTAGTAGTTTCTTGTTGTTTTACCATTTCTTCTACACCCTGTGTCACAGATCCCTCAAGAGGTCTTAGCTAACAACAACTACCCATATCTTGGGGATGTCCTGGGACTCTGTTGCTGCAGATCCATCTGGGTCCTTTCCGTTTCTGCCCAACAGATCGAGCTCATCTTCGAGCACGGGAGCCTGCTTCTCGTGCTTCTCGTCCTCCCGCGCGGTGCTTGCGGAAGAACCAGGCCACGTGGCCAAATGGTAGTGTCTCACTTGTTTGGACTCGAACAAGCGACTGACTCCTTACGTTTGTCAGTCCTGAGTCAAGATTTGTCCTCAGTCAGTCCTTAGTTACTGAGTGAAAAGATGTCAGAGGGTACGACTCCAGCCCCAAAGCCGAAAGATACTGGTGAATTGTTTGCTTTGAAGATGGTTTTGACCATGTTTAAACCATCCTTTTTCTCTGTTCCTTTCAATCCTTGGTCACCTTGGTCCTTCCTTCCGCTTCACTCGCACGGGTCGTTTCGCGGTCGTCTCTTAGGGGCAACTCCTCCAGTTCCAGCTCCGCAGGCCGCCATCGCACCTGCGAGAACGCTGCCCTCCATCGCACGTCAAGCGTGAAAATCATAGACGACCAAGAAGGACAGCTCCGAGCTCAACGGATTTTTGGCCAACCACTTGTCATACAACTTCCTTCACACAACACGGCTCAACTCTTGTGAACCAGTAAAAAGATACGTCGAACAAATAAATCAACACAAACTCCTTCAACTGTTTGCGGTTTTCTTGGAAAATAGATCTGATTATGCCGACTTTCCTCAGATCCAACCGTGCCGGCGGCCCTCCTGTCCCCGGGCCCTCCCACCTCGTGAGCCTCTCTCGAGGGCGACCGACGACTCGGTGGCCTTGGGACTCGTTTCAAGGGACTCGTCCGGTGGATTCCAACGGCGGCCTGAAAAGAAAAACAAAGCAAAAAACATGGTAAACATATGCAAACATCTATGAAAGCCCCTGAATGAGTCACCAAAACTCTTGGAAGAATGAGTATGAATGAGTCCCAGATCCGTGTTCCGAATGATCCAATTGTTCCTGACGTTCTTGAGACTGTGAGAGCAAACGATGTTCCTTCCCAACCAAACACACGAATGTCATTTTGACCCTCCCGCCACCCTTGATTCTCAAAATGGAGGGAAACGGTTCCTGCGGATGACAAGTAATTCCTGTATTGCCTGGCAAAATAATGGCAAGCAAACTAAATTCCAGATGCGACGGATCGTGGCATAGTTTGGGGGACTTGAGGGAGCACGTCAGAAGATAGCGCCATCATGCTACTTTCCTCTCGGCAGTCAAGCTCCGGAACTCTGGAACCCCGGCGGCTGCGCCAGTCGCTGTAGCTGCTCCTGAAGAGGCTTTTGGGAGTTTTAGGATCAGCAGCAGGGGGTGTGGGGCACATGTGGCGTGGAACGTGGAAGAGACCGACGGACACCAACGGCACAAAGCTTAGTGGCAACCTGGCAGAGCCCATCTTCACCCACCGCTTCCCACCAACTGCATCCAAATCTTCACCCCCACGTCCCAAACACGTCGCGGGCGAAGGTAAGGGGAGAAGAAGACACGGAAGACGAGAACGCGAACGCTCGCTGAGTGGAGGCACCAGCGACTCAGACTCTAGAGGCATGTGGAAATCGGAGAATGGAGTGAGTCTGGTTTCGGAGTGATTCGCTTTGATTCTGAGCCATTCAGATGCTTGGGATGCTTCATGTAGATATATCAGATATATCGGTCAATTGCATGTCCGGTTTTTAAAAACTCTGGATCTTTTGCAAGAATGAAACACCCAGCAAAGAGCAGTGACACGCCCCAGCGTCGCGAAAACACTGGAATTTTGCACATCTGAGAGATCAACACCCCAAACCATCCACTGGGCATCACTGGGTCAAACTTTTGTAACATAGTAAATCATGCACACATGTACATCTGATGGATCTCTTCAATCCCTTGGGTTTTTTCCCGTTTTCCACATCTCCACCGGCCCATCTCCACCGGCCCTTCCGTGGGGTTCCTCTAAAAGCACCGTGCGCCGGCGCCAGTTTTCACGGTCCATCTCCACTTCCCGAAGCCTCAAGGACCGGATGGAGAGGTGGGTGGATGCCTGCGGATGATGGGTGGATGATGGGTAGATAGCCCAAACCCTAAAAACCGAGTGCTGATAGATGAAGGGTTGTCCAAAGATCGTATCTTTGTGATTTTGAGCCAAAAGTCGTGAAGGGGATATACCTAGACAAAATGTAAATCAACCCCGTATCTTTTGCTGGCTCAATGGATGAGTTCGTTCCATATCGAGTTCTTTACAGATTTATAGCACCATGTAATAGACTTTTGGTCATTGGTATTATTCTGCTCAAACAAGAGAAGCTAGGGAGAACTAGAAGATTCAATGTGTGATACTTAGTCACCTTAGCGCAAACAGAAAGCCTCTATCGCATCACCTGCAATACCCGATGGTACTTTTGCAGATTTTCAGACCATCTCAACAGGTCACTGTGATACTCCAGACAACCCTTCTGATGACACACTCTGTGGTGCAGCTGGACAGTTCTTGACGCAACCTCGTGGTCAATCAATCCTTGAGTTGAGATGGTCCACTCTCCCCCTCGGAGCTATGACTTCCCTTGTCATCGTCTCAGACATTAGGGGTTATCACACTCTGTGCTCCGTTTCCGTCCCAGACGCACCCGAGCTTCTGCAGTCCGAATGAAGCAAAAAAGAGACTCAGGTTTGGAGCTGCAGCAAGTCAGTGTGCCGGGCGTTTGCCAAACAAATGTCACAACTTCCACATGCTCAAGGTAATCACTGGCATCCATGTGTCCCATCGGGTCCACACCTGGTTTCCAAGCTGTCCTTCACATCCACCTGTGTCGGAGCAGGAAGGCCCTGTCCGGTCTGTGCAGGGAACTTTGGTGTCTTTTTTTTGCGGAGGAACACCTGTTTGGTCAAGTCCCACAAGAGCTTGATTGAATTATGAAGGGTGTGTGTGTGTGTGTGTGTCACTCGTCAGGGTTGGGGCAATTCAAGATGATCGAGGCCATCTCCCTATCTGCCACTTGCGAGAATGGATGCTGCGTCATGGGAAAGAAATCACACACCACAAGCTTGTATTTCGATGTTCTGATAAATCCGCCCTCTGTTCCAGCTACCGTGGCAAGACATGAGTTCTCCACACGGTTTCCCTCCCAGCTCCACGCCTCCGTCTTGGAGGCCTTCGGGGTTTCCACCTCAGGACCTCCAAAACACCGTGGGAAGGCGTGGTCAGCGATGCTCGTGGTGGAACTGGTGGCAGTACATATCTGGGGTGGTCCTTCATATGATTAGCTCTGGGGCCATGGAAGTTGCAAGAGTGGCTGTGCTTCTTGGCGGTTTCATGATGCAAAGGTTGAAAGGCCAAACCTGCTGTTGTTGCGGAAAGAGTTTGGACGAGTGAAAATTCAAGTGTGTGGCAAAACTCGTGTCTGAAATGGTAATCAATATGTTTGAAAGTTTGGAGTTTTATCTAGTTTCAGTGAGCTCTGTTTGAGCAGTGTTAACGATGGCTTTCGAACGCCAGTCTTGCTGCATCAGTCCACTAAGTTCATGAATGGTGCCCAGATTTTATGATATAAGTTATCATATTTTATCAATTCATCAAACGAAACAACCTCAACAATACTTGAGCACCTTGTGGGGTCTACAGTCAATGATCTTGCTCGGGTCCCTTTCGATCGAGGCTTCTCCACTGGTTTCTTTGGGCCCGCGGGCGGCGGCTTGGGCTGCTTGAGGCGTTCGGGCCATTCACCTTCTCCATGGGACCTTCTCGTCTCGCAGACGCCCGACCGAGCACAGGCGAGAAAAACGAGGCGTCGGAGAGCTGGTTGCGGAAGGTCGGTGACGAACGAGTGACCCGGTCGGGTGACGTTTCGGTCGGGTGACTCGGGTTGGAATCAGCCCGGCAAAAAGGATGAAAAGGAGTGCCGTTGCTGAGATGTTTGCCTGATCTCCCCGTTGGATGGTTCGTGATTCTTCGACCCGTCTTGAGTTGCACGAGACCGCAAATCTTGAGTTTGTGCAAATGGGGAATGTAGGGAAATAGATGGAAAATGATGGAAATAGTTCCATTCCAGCCTCCAGCAATCCAAAATCATTCTCCAGTTCCTGCAAACGTTCTTCGACCCTCTACGACCCTCCACAGACACACTTGGGGGGGTGCTCAAGTCATATCCTAAAATCAAACTCCTAAAAGATGTTGAAATTCGACCAAAATCGTCTTGAAATGATGTTGTTTATTGAACATGTCCTAAGATCTTGATTGAAAAAACATCGCTACGTCCTCGCTGCGCTGTGTTATCTCGCGACGCTCCCGTCGGAGTCCGGGACCGGGTCACCGCGAGCGCCTCTGGGAGCCGTGGCCGCAGTGGTCCCTGCCGCGAGGGTGGCGGATGTTTCCAGGTGACCCACAGTGAAACCGCCTCTTCTGAACATCGATTTAGCATGGCATAGGTAGAACAGATGGTCGAAAATAGGCGAAGGACAAACAAACATCTGTACCATCTGAAATGCAAAAAACAACAAAACACATGACTTCCGGCTTGAATCCTGCCTGTGAGAGGAGGTAGGCGGCCAGCCTGGGTCCGGCAAACACCCGTGAATGGCCTGAAGAGAACCTGAACATGGAGGCCTGGAAGACTACTGCCCCTTTATAAACCCAGTAGAGTTCACTTGGAATGCACCTTGGTGTTTAGCAGATGTATCAGAATCAGAATCCCTTGTTACTCTTGAACTTCCAAGAAACCACGGCTCCGTGATGGTCCCACCACACCGGTGCCCGGGTGCCCATGTCCACACATGATGTTTTTTCACGTCCGGGGTTATGAACCTCTTCCAGGAGCAAATAGACATTCAGCCTGCTGGCCGTTTCAGGTCCCCATCAATGCTTCTGCCAGTCTGCTGCCTCCATGTCACCTGTGGGAAAAAATGTCCACCTCACCAGGTCCTTGAGCAGCGGACCCCTCACAGCCCCATGCGAATGATGGAGAAGCATCCCTCCGAAATCCCACTGCTGATTCATGTGGAAGTTCAAATTTGGTTGCCTTGGAACAATACATGCCTTTACAACATGGTGTGAAATTCCATGTTCGTCTTCCAGGGTCAGAAATCCAAAGGGTGTGTTGTCTTTCCTGACCAACCCCAAGCATGTCTGAAACACCTCCAGCTTGATGGTTCAGCTTTGATGTCACCAATGAATGAGTGTGAGTCAACCCACCTCTTGATCCGGCTTCAAGGATCGAACTTTTGGTGACCTAAGATATCACATTGATACACTCAACCGATGAACATCCATGTTTTGCTCTTGTCTCTCCGTCAGTTCCACACCCAGAAACCCGGCGCTGTGCCCCTCACCCGCCCGGACCACCCGCCCGCTCCCTCATCTGCTTGGGCCCCGAACAGCTTGGCTGGGCGATCCGGGCCTGCGTTTCACACCGGGTCAGCAAGTTGCCGGGTGTCAGAAGGTCCAACATGGTTGTCCAGAACGAAAATGCCAAATGTTGAGATCCTGCAGGATCTCAATGAAAACCTAGATGATCCTCGTGAGTGCATCATCGATGAAATGTACCATGTTTGTTTGTCCAACGTGTAAAACCTTTATGTATGTGCATCATGGCACCTGGTGTTTTTTGTGGACGTCGCCACAACAATCTGCAAGAACCACGGACAACTACAAGGGAATGTTTCATCCTGGAAACAAATTGTCCCATGCATGGCTTTTGATCGAGAACATTTTGCAAATACAAAGTTGAAGACCTGCGCAGAGATGTTCAAGGACTTCAGGAAAACCCTTCCAAAATTTGTGTTTGTTTGTGTCATTACAAGCTGGGAGTACCCCTGAAAAATTCACCGGTCTTCAAGGCTCTTGACAACAAAAATTTCACGCCCAAGTAGCAAAGCCCAACAACCCAACCACCCAATTTGCAAGCCGAAACCATAAACCGGCTGCGTCGGCTTCCAAAAAAAAATTGGTTGTCAGTACCTGGCAGAATCTCCTGTGGACCCCTCGAGCCCCACAGCCTGGCGCGGTCAGAGACCTGCGGCGAATCCTGGAGACAGCGACCCGCGGCACTCACGACGGTCTGGGAAGTAGGCGGCCTTCCAAAAGGTTACTACTACGAGTAACAAAGTATAAGTTCAAAAACTTGTTTTCAGAACGACCCACCTGTCAACGTCGTGCACGTTTGTTGACTTATTTCTTCAGGCGATGGGTCCACGATAAGATTTGGAAAAATTTTTGGAACGTTTGGACGGAGACCCTACACCTTGGCGTTCTCCAGCCCTTTTAGCAAGCCGGCGCTCTGCTGCTGCACTTGCCGCGTTCCAGGACGCGACTGCTACGACGACTACGGCTACCACTAGGACTACGACTACGACTACGACTACTACTACTACTACCACTACTACTGCTACTGCTACTGCTACTGCTACTGCTACTACCAACTCCTACTCCTACTCCTACTACTAGTACTACTACTACCACCACGACTACTACTACTACTACTACTACTACTACTACGACTACGACTACGACTACCACTACCACTACCACTACCACTACCACGACGACGACGACTACTACTACTCCTACGAAGACACCTGCAAATAGTTGCCCCAAGGATCTGGGACGGCGGTCCCACAACGGCTTCGCCCGGAATGCGCAAGAGCGGGTTTTTGCCCTTGGCTTTCGCCATGCCGCAGAAGGCGCCGCAGCCCGCGCATCAGCCCGTCCTGCGGCGCGTGGCTGATCTGTTCTTGAAAGAAGCAGAACACGCGAAAGGAAGAGAGAATGATGCTTTTCTCCTGGGTGCCTCAGCCAAACGCCCGGGGTGTGCTCCGGACAGGATTGCGAGAACAATCCAAGGGACGTCTCCGGGTCGGCAGCGTCGGGCTTTGCCGTGATGTGGCTCGCAGAATGCAAAAAATCCAGCCTCCGCTTGCTGTTCTCGGTCGTCTCGGTGCATGCCCCGTGCTTCGTCCACAACGAAATCCATGCCAGAATGGTTTCATTGAAAACGCCAGGGAACCCAAAAGCTTGCGCGCGCAGATTTCAATCCTTATGTGGTAGGAATTTGCGGCAGCGTCATAGACCTCAAGGCCTTGACAGATTACAGTAGTAGAAGTAGATTGGATTGCCCAGGTGCCGTCACAGATGTGGCTCGTATATTGTTGCTGTTGTTTCCGTTGCCACTCTCTGCTGGTGTGAAAAAACGAAGCGACCGCTTGCCAACACTTTGTTGGTTCAATTAGGGAGCTGGCAGCTGGCAGGAACACTCCTCGAAAAAACATGCCCGCGAAAAGCTTGCATCGAAAAAGGCTGAACTTCTTCGTGGACCTGCGCTGCCCTAGCGGCGACTACAACTGGGCACTAGTATTGGGCGTGGAAAACAATACTAGAACTGGAACTAAATCAGCCGTTTGTTTTTGCACCCCGCCGGCTCTGTGGCCTGGACGCACTCTTGGACGCTGCCACCGCTTGCCGCGCAGCGTCTGTGGACGGTAGCATCGCGGGAAGCCGCAGGACCGTCAAGAGCTGGACGCTGAGCTCGGTTTCCTGTCCTAGCCATTGTCATGGATACAACAATGAAAGCTGTCTGAAGTGAGCAACGGCTACCCCGTGAAGTCTTTGTCTTTGCAGGGTTCATTAATCAGTGCGACCACAAAAGTTTCGGCCTTGGGTGTCTTGAACGTGGCGCCGATCCAGTTGATCCCAAGTTCTGGTCCACCAGGGCCTCAAAGCAAAACAACAAAAAATCACACCTGCATGAACACGACCATGTCAACCCGTCCCTGCCCTGGGCGATGCTTGGTATAGGTCTGAGTCTGCGGCCTGTGTGCGTGGTGGGCCATCGAACTTTGATGGTGCAGCAGCGGAGGTCCAGCGCGAAGGGATATACCCCTCCGTGGATTTGGATCATCCCCTTGTCCAAATAAGTGTTGGCGGCAACCGGGAAGAGCCCACAAAATTAGTCCTTCAAAGATGCGGCCACGGGCGTCCAGCATCGCTAGCAGCGTGCACTGATACAATGAAATTGGTGACACATTCCAAAGCAGAGACATTTAGATCTATATGTTTGCAGATCATCTACAGATGCACGCAACAAGACCAAAGGTTTGCGCAACAAAAGAAGCGCTTTGACGGCGTCGTCCATCATGCCCAACTGATGGGCGAGGCACACGCCAATCCTCGCCTTATGGGGCCACATGCAAAAAGGTCAATGCTCCTGTTTGTTTCAATCCTGTCAGCAACGGCATGATCAACTCCATGTCAAGTTGTTCTATCAATACAAAAGGCAGTATACCCATGAGTCAGCCCGTGATGAACTCATGAAATGAACCGCCTGGTCATTTAATTAACTTTGCGCGGCATAGCCCAAACACACGTACAACAAAAAAGGACAAGTGTTATGCTCTACAGAAACTGGGCCAATTCGCTGTCTCTGGTCACTATATGTGAGCGCTATTCTTTGATGTCTAACAATAAAATAGAAAGCATCGATAGTGTTGATGCGCCAGATAGAATATGAAGCAATTCCCAAAGCTAGCTAGTCACCTATTCTATGTGCTGGCATCCAATTTGCCTGTTCCTACAGCAGGTAGAATATGGGCTAGAAAATGAATGGTGAAGTTGCAGATAGAATAGGATATATATATATATAATGAATTTTATGATGTTTGACAAACCAATCAGTTAACAGTCAAACATATATAGGTTCTCTTTTGTGGAGTCATCCCTGTATCACTTTGCAAGTGGTTTGGAGAAAACAGTTGGATTATCAGCTTGTGAAGAGTTTCACTTTCTATGTATTCACATTTCTTCACACATGAAACGACTTTTGGCTTTTGAGCACAATGTGCAATCATGTATAAAAACCACGTTCAAACATATATATATATATCATATACAGGTTGAAACAACTGGCATCTGGTTTGATGACAATAGCTGCTAATGGTGCACATAGAAAATGCACGATTTTTCCTGGGCTCACGGATACCATTGCTTGATTGATATCATTCACATTTGTTTTCAGGGGCAATTGCAGCTGAACCCAAGCACAAGGTTTAGGAAGATAGCGCGAAGATGCTGGTTTCTGAAATCTTTCACCGAGTAACATGCATTTGGGGTGAAAAATGTGTGCTGAGATGGGCTGGGTTTCTGTTGAACTGGCTTTTCCAAACCAATCATTCTGACGCAGATAGAATATTATAGCAGGGAGAGGCAGAGAGGCAGGGAGGGAGGGAGGGTTGAAGACAAGCATTGCTGGCCACATACTAGATTACTGATATGTTTTCTGTTTGTTTGAGCCAGCAATGCTGGCTGTGTTATAGCAATGACATGCAATGACACAAGTGTTGTCATGTGATTTTTGTATGGTGAAATCTACAACAAAAATCATACATGAAACATACACATTATGAACAACATCAATTAATTATATTCTATCTGCACGGGTGTTGGTGATTCAGGAATTACCTTTTTAGAGGCTGAAAATATTCTACTGTATCTGCATACTATCTTTTTCGCATATTCTATCTGGAGCATCAACACTCTAAACCTGCCCAGACTACTGGAGCTTTCTACGTGCTGTGTTCGGGTCCGTATGTGCTCAAGGGCCTTTTGTAGCTGCATGCCTTTTGAGTATCTAGAGGCCCTCACCTGCAAGGTGATGCTTCGATTTACAACAAGCCTCGCTGGAGGCCCTATGTGCAAGAATGCCAGCGTCACGCGCATCGACCCTGCCCAGGGTGTTAAGTGTCGTAGCCTCGCAGCAGGGGCTGCAAGCTCATCCAAGCTGCTTGCCGCGACCGCCACGCAATCTGACTTCACCGTCCACAGAACGCTGCACCTGCCATAAAACCTGTACTTGGAGTTGTTGCACCTGCCACGACAGCTGCGCTTTGAGGTTCACAAAGTGCTGCACCCACCACGAAATGTGCATGGCCAGAGCATTGCGTGAGCCAAGTTGGGTCAGTGCGTGATGTGGATCAAATGGATGCCACCTGGCCTCTAAACACTCTTTTCTTGGGTGTCCGTTAGCCTATCCCAGGCTTTATACACAGGCCGTGGTGGGCCTCGCCAGCTGCGAATGCTACCCACAAAAGAGTCCCTGGCCCTGGCGGTGTTGGATAAGGATACGAATAAGGCGATAGGGTACCTAGGTGCACAGATGTTGGTAGGCTACGGTATATATATAGACGCATGGATCGGATAGGACAGTATAATATGTATTATAGGGTCCGCCTGGAGTCCGCCTCGACCCTACTCTAGGATTCTCTAGGATCCTCCTATACCCACGCGAGACTTCTTGCATGGCTTCTGAACCCACGTGAACACCAAGAAGGCCAGGCCAGTGCATCTGGTAGAAGGCTCATTCTGAACCAACACACCCCGGTCCGGTCTGCGTCTCACCCGGTCCGTCGGCCCGGCTCCGACTGGCTCCGGGTACGTCAGTCCGTCGGCCTCCCAGGACCGAGCCGGTTGAGGGGTGGGGTGCTTCGTTTGAAGCTGAAAATGAGAAGATGAGTGATCCTAGGCGTCCTAACATCAGTGATCCTAGGTGATCCTGGGTCTTGGAATGTCTGTCTTTCATGTTTAGAGAACTGGTTGGGTATGCATCATGGCTGGATGAGTTTGAAAGGATACCTCTCTGAGTGCTTTGTACATATATGGGCCTGTCTCTGTCTCCCGCAAAGCACTGGGCGGCCACGGTGTTTCATCGATCTGAGAAATGGTCTGTCTTTGACGTGTCCACATCCAATGATGATGACTAGGGATGACTAGGGCTTTCAAAACTGGGACACACCCATTCTACAACCTAGATCACCAGATATCCGTGGCTCTCTGATCCATGATCGATTTCGCAAGTGACGTTCATCGAGAAATATACACCTATTTATATACCTCATGCTCCATCCGGAAGTCTGTTTTCGTGTGTCCAACATGACTTGACTCCAAAGTTCCCATAACGAAAGTGGATCTCGGCCACATTCCTCACAGACATCCCTCACGGACATTCACCGATCTTCACCGGTAAGGAGCCGATGGGGAGAACAACCCACCGGTGGACAGCCACCACGCGAAAGTTGAAAGCCTTGGAAGATATCCAGCGATGTTTTGAGAGTTGTCCAATGAGCAACAAGTAATCAAATGAAGTCCGTAGAAGCTATGGATAGCTTCTTGCCACATCCCTTGCGCTGGCCTCCAACCTATGGATAGCTCCTCCCCCATCATTTGGCAAGGGGCTACCCAAGTCCCAACCAAAATGGCAGGTTGCAGGGGAACCTCCTCAGTCTCGTTGTCTGGTCTCGTCGGTCATGTCACACCAGACACTGACCCAGCCTCTAAAGACAAGGCCGGCGAGAGGACCTGGGGCACGGCTGAACCAGTGCGAAGACTAGACGGTACAGGTACTGGTGTATCACTGTATTGGAACAAGGTCTTTGGATGTCTTTGGACTGTAACATGCAACTGTAAATCTCCAGTACATCTCCACTGCAGAAAGTTCAGGCTCGGATCACACCCTACAAGTAGTCTCTATCTATCTTTCATTGCCCTCAAGCCTCCTTGCACCCTCTAATTTGACAGGATCGAATTCCAATAAATGTTGCATGGACGGTGTGTCTCCACTTCTGGCAAAAAAGAGGATGAACAACGGGAGAAGAAAATGTATTAATTCCCGCACGAACGTGTTCAGCTTCGATTTCCGATTCTTCGGAAGTCCCATTCTTCGGGTGGTCACAGCAGACCCCGCCTGGCAACTGCAGGGCGATGCCTTGGCCTGGAAAAGGGGCAAAAAGGATGCTGCAGGGAGGCGAGAAGTGCGAAATCACACCCACTGGAAAGGCCCCAAGGCTGTTATGATACCAGGAGCCCCAAGTACCGTCCTTGCTCCTAGTAGTAAGGCCAGGAGCCCTTAGTAGCCCTCGCAACCACCGGAACCCCCGCAGCCAACCGCCCCACAAACACACAGCGCCTCGTCCCTGAGCGCAGTCGTGGCCTCATGGTCGACTGCGCCATTCGCCAGAACCCAGGGCGAGCTGGTATATAGTGAGTATAAGTTTGGGTCTATCCCATTACCAGCAACAGTGCATGATGGTGGTTAGGTTGCAAGCCTTTCTCAGAGTCATAATTGTTGTACCTTGGTAGTGGGCCACACCTTAGGAATTTTCATCTGTGAGGATGTCCCCTCCCTCAGATCATTGGATATCCATTCCATGGCTTTCACTCACTCCCTTCGTGCAGGACAGTGCAGGTTAGTGTGTGGGATCCAGGACTTCTGAACAGCCTCGTGGTCATACCCACATGACGAATCCCATCAAGGGTGGATGCACGATGCAGTATGACCCAAGAAACAAATCGAAAAGCAAAAGAGCGAAAAGAAGCCATCCAAAACCCGTTGGTTGGGGGTCTCCCTGTCCAATACACACCCTGTCGCGAAAACCGGTCGTTTCTTGTGACCCAACACCATGGATCCTCTGTCAGCCTGTCAGCGGACTGGAGGCCAGTGTTGGGCCAACATGTCGGACTGGAGGCCAGTGTCGGTCTTGGTGGATAACCCGAACACATCTGACTGGTGCTTAGCAGGGAATGTGGGAATGGATCCAATAGAATTTCTATTGGGGGCTCATTCCCTTATTCCCTACTAAGCACCAGTCAGACATTGTTGAAAGTCGGGAGCCCCCAGTCATGAGGAGTCAACGACCTGGCGACGTGGTCCGCACCGTGCTCGGACCATCCACCAGGCGGTCGGTGAGGTCGGACGGAAAGAAGTCTGGTCACTACCGGCCTAACAGCAATGTGTTTGAGATGTAAACTCTACATGACTCAAGGCTCAAGGGTCCAAATCTGTGTTCAATCCATTTCTCCCCAAGTTTGAGAGGGAAACTGATCTTCCCTTACACAAACTGAGAAGATTGGTACTCTGTTGTTGACTTGGACATAGAAAACGGTCACCATCCCCAGGTCGCCGCTCCAGCTGCTGCATCCCAGTGGCGGTCAAGAGTTCCCGCTGCGGAGAGCCTGGCCGGTCAGACCAGAATTTGCTGGTCGAAAGCAGCTTTTGCTGCCCAATCGGGAGTTTCTAGGTTGCCTGCAATCATTAAAGCCCGCTGGAATGTCTACAAATGCACCCAAAAGCAGCATCCATCACCCGGATATGTAGGTGTGGAGTCTTCAGCTTTGAAGGGAACTTCTACAAAGATTGCTTAGATCATTTTCCATCTGGATCCCCAAATTGATATAGCTAACCAGCCATTGCATCTGCTTCATTCATCCTGTTCATCCCCAGCTTGCCGCTTCGTGGCCTTCGGCCGAGACGGCGTTCAAGGACCTGCTGCTGCCCAGCACCGCGCCTAGCAATATCAAAGATCTCGAAGACCACCGGCAGATATCAACCAACTAGGAACAAGAAGCTACTTGGGGCTCCTGGCATCGCTACTAGGAGCAAGAGGACGCTACTGGGGCTCCTGGCCTTACTACTAGGAGCAAGAGGACGCTACTAGGAACAAAGCAGTCTGAAACCCATCGAACAATCCATCCATCCAGCAATCCAACCAACCCATCCAGCAAGCACATGTCCGACCGATCCACAACGAAGCAAAAAATTAGACCCAACCGGATCGTTACCTACTGCCACAGAAAATCATTTTATTATGGTCTGTTGACTCCCTCATCAGGACGAAAAGGACTCATCCCATCAAGTATAATATAATCCTGGAACCCCAAACAACCAGAAACAAATGGTTGTTCCAATATGGCAATTGAAATCCTTTACATAGGAAATGGTAAGTAACACCCTGGGAGTTATCTTTTTCTTATCACCGTGCGAGTCGAGCTGCTCAGCGACCGCTTCAGCTCCCCCGACTCTCGCCTGCGCTGTTGGGCGAGGCTTCCAGCCCTTTGGGCCTGGACGGCTCGATCGGCTCACCGAAACGAGAGTCGGCTCAAGTACGGTGGAGGAAAAAAGGAAGATAAACACGGCGGTGTCAAGTCCCGTGTCAGCTCGGATGCTGTAACAGCTTTCGTGTCAGATCGGATACTGTAACAGCTTGATCCAGCTTCACGAAAAAACGGGGTCGAACGTCAAAGTTAAGGCACTGGACCCCGTTCACTTCATCCATCCGGCCCCGTTCACTGGCTCGGTGCTCCGGCCGCTCAGGCGGACGCAAGGACGGCTCGGTGAGAGGCACCTCAAAACGGCTCAAGTGGAGATTGGGCAGTGGAAATTCTATGGAATCCTGACAGAATCACTTACATGGAGAGCAAACAAAAGGAGCTTTGGGCGGTTTGGGGCCTACTAAAGGGGCATCTGAAATGCGGAATACTGTTGAGGGGGATGGAGTCGAGGAGAGTCGGATTTTGGGGTTGACAGCCTTGTGCTCCTTCCCTCCACCGCAGATGATGAACTCCCTGGATTTCCCCCAAAAGTGCTCACTTGCGCGTGTCGGTTGCACAAATCTAGAACCAGACCTTCGCACATATAAACAAAACGAGGTTCTATAATAGCAACGACAAACAAGAAAATACCGTAAAAAGGAACATGGATGGATGAAAATGGTCTCTTCCATCATGGTCTTATCTTCGCTCCGAGACGGCCGTTTTGGCGCTTTTCTTGAACCACCGAGCCCCCCGGGGCCCGGATCCCCCCGCGCCGCCTGTGCCTGTCTGACCGGAGAGTGCCCCAGTAGCGATGGGATCTGGCTCGGATTCGCGGCGAGGGTCTCATGGTGTATCCCATCTCAACCACCAGAGGACCACGGACCAAGGGGGGGAAAGCCTGGGTGAGGTTGTGGATTGCTTTGGACCTCAGGTTTGAAGTTTCGGAGTTTTCGGGTTGGGAGCACCGAGTTGAATCCTTCAGTCGCATTTGGAATGACCATTTGCCGCCTCACGGTCACGGGCAACTCGGACATGCAAGACATTCGGTGCGAGAAGGAACTGAAGAAATACACCCTCGCTGAGGCACCATCCGCTGCACCAACACAAGTCTTGGGCGCCTCACCCATCGGGACTACCTCGGGACTTTCTACCTGCTACCATGAAACGGCCACTGGGTCCCCTCACCGTCAAGTCCAAGATGGAACAGGGCAGTGAAGCAGATCGAGCCTCGAGCAATCTCTCCATCTTTCTCGGTGCTCTCCGTCCAGCATGTCATGTCTTCAACAAAAGAGAGATTTTCGGATTTTTCGGAGCCAGAGAGGTTGATGCGTATGAAACCTCTCTGGCTCTCCATGTGAAGTCTCGCCACTAACACTCGTTTTCGGGCTCTTCAGGTCACCACCAAAGAGGCGTTCCTCGCTTGGAGGGCTTGTCGCTTCAGCCGGATGGTCTCAGCGCGCTGAGCTTTTCGGCAGAGGGATGTGGTGAAGATCACGATGTTCCCACGAGTCCCCCCTCACGTTGCAAGCACAGTCACCATCTACTGGAGATGTGCGAGATGTGTTTGGAGATTCATTCCCAAGTCAACCCCCCTTACATACAAAAGCTCTTTGCGTGCGACCCTTCCACAAACAGTGGTAGGTGTGGGCGCCCCAGGTCGGTCAGTCTGTCCCAAATTCGCTGGTGGCAAAAGGAGTTGCCAGACAGGTGTAGGCGAGTGGATCCCTCCGAATCTCCACAGCTTCGGGTCCAACGGGCCGAATCCGCGACCGACCAGCCGAAGATCGGTTGGGACCTCCGTGTCTCCACCGACACGGCTCGATTCGGTTCGGCCATCCGCTCTGACCGCGATGATTGGCACGGACAAATGGGCCAATCTTGCTACAAGGATGGGACGAAAGCAAAACAAAAACCCTCAAGCAACAAGTCGATTGGTACAGAAAATTCAGATTCACCAATGGTGGTCATCTCCATCGGACCATCGCTTCGAGCTGTTGAGCTGCCGTTCCCTGTGAGAGGAGGGTGGACCAGGTCTTCAAAACGGTATCAAGTGGCCAGGAGGTGTTCCTGTTGCATCTCGTGCAGAAGCTCCGCCTTCGCAGGTGGAACAGTTGGCTGCGAGGGCCTTGAGGCTTTAAGCGACTCAACACCTTGCATTCATAGTTTATATGTTGGGCCTCTCCTATTCCTATACCAACAGCGGATGATGATGGTTCGGTTGCAGGCCTTTCTCTAAAACAGTGATACTTGTTTACCGACTGGTACAGGTCATAGGACACACCCAATTTTGAAAATGTATATTGAAACCTGTTTGAAGCATGTGGTGACTTGCAATGTGGGACCTAAGTGTTGGTTTCTTCACTTGATGCATCGGCTGTTAGCTCAAGATCAGAAAACCATAGAAAACCTCTCATCACCACCATCATTGTGATACCATATACCAATCATTTGTGTTTGAGTCGCCCAAGCGAACAGGAAAGGATCTGAAATGGAATGCCCAGCGAAGTACTGCCCCAGTTACTGCCGTTCTGATGTTCCACACCCACCCTGCATGGGCCGCAGTTCTGGGGCGCCTCCCGATGGCGGGTGGACACCTGTGGCCACCAAAGGCTGGGCAAATCCGATCTGGGGATGGAAGAAGTTGGAAGGAAAATCCAACCCACCAGCACACATAGGTTCTTTTTAGGTACTTCAGCTGGTATGAAATCAATCCTAGCCACCAGCCGTCAGTGTTTGTCGCTTGAAGTCGGTACATCTACCGTAGATCATATACCTTGCGGGGGAGGGTTGAGACAATAGTATATAGTATAAATCACCTCAGCAAAAAGGAAAAAATACGTGTATATATATACATAATACATATGTTTGTCTTTTGTTGTAAAGGATCTTGACTGCCACAGTGGCACAATTATTTTTCCGTGGTTGTTTGCAGTGATCTTGGAGTGGGCAATCATGGACATGTTCACCAAAATTGAAGGCGGCTTGACTCCCACATGTTAGCAAACTAGTTGGCACAATCAAAACTAGTTGTGGTGGTTTTGGCAATTCGCCTCCCAAATCTGACTTGCTCCAGACCAAAAAGCTGACAGAAACACCCTGCTGTGCATCCAAACTCAGATCGAAAAACGGGTACACTGAACATCAAATCCCAAAGCCACTCGATCCATACATCCGACATGTGCATGCCCGCAGTGTCAGCGCCAGTGTCAGCCATCAGCACCTGCTGCAACTGCGGTGTGGGTGGGAGGTCGATGACGGACCTGAGCTGCGGATCGTCGCCGGTCGGCCCCTGCGCGGTCGGTATGCAGAAGCAGAACATGGAAAGACACAGAGAGAGAGAGAGAGGTCTTCAAATATGCTACACTGCTACACCACCCCCCAACGGTACTGTCCTTTTCAGTATGATTCTTGTAGTTGCGATTTGCATGGTGTACGTAGTTGTCATGCGGATGCAGACAAGTGGTGTTGCACAGATGCAGACAAACCTGTGGTGTGGACGAAGGTGGAAAACCACTAGACATGGCAACTTTGACATGCACAACTTGCCGTTCCGCAAGTGGCGTATTGCAGATGGCAAAGCGGAGAGACTCTTTTGCCTGCATGAAAACGGCTAAAACCATGACAGAAACGACCCCGTCCTTGCTTCCAAGTTCAAGACACAACAAACGACTGCCGAGCCGACTTTACAGTGGTTGATCTTCAATTGCTCTTGCAGGAATTTCCAACGGGGATCTATGTGGAATGTGATTTTGGCGAACCTTCAGCCGTTTGTTTTCTTAAAGGTTTCCCCTCCACCTTGCGGATGGCCCCACACCCTGGCAGGAGGGAGCTTCCACTCTAGTGGCTGGAGATGGTGAAGCACTATAGTGTCTCAGGTTATAAACGCCCCAACTCTGAGGAGAAGGAGTTCCATGGGTGGGGGCTTGCAAAGCATTGGCAAAGCTGCCATCATGCCACAGAGTCTGCGCTGCCAAGCTCGTCGCTCAAAACAGCTTGCAGGCTGCACTTTGAACGACCAGCTTTGCATGGTAAGAATTGACGAATATTGACGAACGCCAAAATGGATTGTCGTGAACTGGTTGGCTTCTTGGATCAAATGACTCCAAGTTAGCAAGCACACGCTGTGATGGTGCCCACGTTTGCTGCAGATCCGCTTCATGACGTGGATCTGCAGCCGCGGATGCCACCAATCTGCCAGCTCCGGAGAGAGAAATGTCTGTTGGGCACCAGCTATATACCTGGATGTGCAGTGTCAAGCAAAGACACACTGCGTGACTGCCTTGAAAGCCATCTTTTTGGGCCGGTTGCCAGGCTTTTTCGACCAAGGGAGAAAAGGTGCAGTCAGATGAGCAGAAGGGATGGAACCAATGGAATGTGGTTGACTGATGTTGACTGAATCAGCCGGGAGTCATAGGTAATGTGCTCCAAGTCCAACAGAATTCCTCCAGAGCCGGCAGGGCAGGCAACCCCTCTTCCTAGGAACTAAGCCTGTTCGATTTGCAATTGTCCTGAGCGATATGCTGTTTAATCCAGCAGGACCGCACAGACAAAAGTAAAGTGCACCATGAGCTACTTCGGTAAAGGATACTTGTGCCTAGGATCCCTATAGAATAAAAAAATCGGGCAGGCCTGTGTCAAAACCACAGTAGATGAACTTCTCGTTGAGCTTGCATTACAAGACGTGAAGGTTACTGTACAGCTCTCCACACAAGCTGTGAAGCTTGGAGGTGGGCAGAGTAGCAAAAGCTCAAAGCTATGGAGAGCAGCAAAGTGGCCAAGATGCAAGCAACAAGTGGACTCCGCGCCAACAGCTCTTAATGAACGGTGACACAACAAGCCTGTGCAGCACAAACAAGTCAAATCCGCAGCGGGCTGCGAGAGATACCGCTCATCTTGCGTCCAAAAGGGCACGCGGAAATGCATGCCCCACAAGCTTATCACTCTTACTCTTCGCTCTCAAATGTGTAGCTATTTGTTCCATGACAAAGCATAGCGTCCACGGCCCAGGAACACATGGCTGTGTCAAGGACTTTCGGAATTTCCCCAAGTCGACCCCAGAAACGAAGGGAAGCACAACATGTCACCACTTTGGAGGTCCCTGATGTTGAGAACAAGCATGAATCATCACCACACGAAACATCACCACTGGGTCAATTCCAAAAGGGAATTTGCATTCAGAATGAAGAGGTGACCAAACATCGCCAGAACAGTCATGTTGCACATGTGCTTCAGATGGTGACCTAGCTGATGAATGCATGCGACAAGACCTCTAACATCCTTAATAACCGTTAATAACCCAAGGATTGTTGGGTCATCAACATTCAACTAGCAAAAGACCACCCTATCTTTACATGAGCCTATTCAGGTCAACCTCTCAACCTCCACAAGGTGTCCCCTCTTAATCCATCGTTCTGCACAAAACTTGCCATCTCGGACCCCCGAACTTGGGTGACGTGGAAGCCTCCCCTGCGGCGGATGGGAAGCGCAACACTCTGTGGATTGGTTTCGACCTATGTCGACCTAAAGACTTACCCCCCCATTCAACAGGGGGAAGGCGGAGAGGAAGGCGGAGGCACATGACCGTCCTGTCTTACCTTCCCTCTTCCTATCTGGAAAACAATATGAGGAGTCCAACTGTTTGGGTGACTGACAGACTAATTTAATCTGAATATACCCCAGACAGGACTGCCACCAACATTGGGGTGGTTTGGGGGGCAAATGTGGGCACATATTCCAGTCCCATGGAGTGTATTGGTACTGATACCTCAGATCATCGAAGCCACGCACGCTGTCCAACTCGAAGCCACGGAGCCGGTGCGAGAGGGTCGAATCGTCGCGGACGTCGGCTGACAGGAGAGAAAGGGAAACCAAAAAGAAACACACACAAGAGACTGAAAGATAACCACAAGTAGAGGCATTTGTCCTCATCTTCCTATCTGTCTTTGGCGGAGAGTAGGTCACTTTGCCTTTGCTGAAACTAAGGAACACCAGTCATGTCCTGGGCCTTCCATGCTCCTTGTACACTTGAATCTTTGCTGAATATCCGCCTGTTTGGGTGATGCAAACCAAAAAAATGTGAACCACTAGTGCCCCTAGGAGAACTCACCACAGGAGTGATATGTATCATTTGCTTCTATTCTACAAGTATCACCTGTCCAGTTGATGTTCAGAGCCCTCCTCACCCCCTCGGGGGCACGTAGACGTCGACTCCATGGACTCCATGGACCGCCATCCCCATCCCGCCTTGCCAGGACCGTAGTTGCTCCTCCAGGAGTTTCATCCTCAGCGATCGATTGGTCCGAATTCAAAGTGCCGTGGGAAACTCGTGGTGGTCCTCGTGTCCGACCTGGTGTCCGACCTGGTGTCCTGGATGCATGGATGGGTTGAGTAGAAGAGAATCCTCCTTTCTAGATTAAAGAAACCGATCCTCTGCGGTGGAACAGCGCAAAGAATGGTTGGTTGATATAGGAGGATGATTGATAGGGGATGGTGGGTGGATGCGCGGGGCCTGCTACCGGAGTCTTATTTCTAGTGACTGTGGTCATCGGGGAGGTTGATGCAGCAGTTCCCTTTGGTACCTGGCCAGTTCCCTTTGGTATGTTGTTTTCAAAGGTGTTCAAACAAAGGCAACTGGTAAACAGCATGGTTAGGAATCCTGAAGAAACACGTTTGGTCTTTTCATCAATTCTTCATTGGTTTGGGTCACACGAAATCTCCAGGAGAGGAAGGATTAGAGTAGGACGAAGGCCTCAACCCTTTCAAACCAAAGCTCTCAATGTGGAACAAAGTCCCCAACCCATGTCCATTTTGGGTTGGAAGAGCTACAATCTCAAGAGATGCACCGTAAACATTTTAGCAGCAAAGCACAATCAATGACTCAAAGAGTCGGAGCTTCCTGATTGAGATTCACGCTAGCAGAAATCAGAGGACTTTGGATGACTCTGAACAACTGGCAGCAGATCAGCGAGACACCTGTCCTTGCGGCTACAGTGAGTACTCACGGTCATTGTTTGACAAACTCAGCAAGTCAACGAATGTAGCGGAGCACATCGACAACAAGAGGACAGCAATAGACCTGACGATCCTACAGCAATAGACATGCGGACAACCATGTCAGACAGCTGCGTTGGACACTCAGGGGATATCATCATCTCGGATTCCCTCGCCAAAAAGGGCGAGGCTAGGTTCTTGAGAGAACTCATGCGGAAGAGCGGAGCTTGGAGCGAAAATGCTCAATTGGTCGAAACCGCACTCATCGAGAAGTGTACCGAATGCCGTGGTTCACTACGACCCAAGTCGGGTTGGGGCCGTGCTTTGTGGTCGAAATCATCGCGGCTGCGCCGTCTACATATTTTATTATCTCTCCCTAGGGATCCAAGTACCTTCTCAGAAGGTGTTTGGGGTGGCTGTGGAGGGTCCAAGTGCCTTCTGAGAAGGTACTTGGATCCCTAGGGTCTGTAACTCCTTCTTCTTCCCTGCCAGGGCCAAGACTTGTTGACCGCCTCCAATGCTCCTGAGGGACGGGATGTCTCGGAGGGGCGTCTAGTTGGGCGTCGGGTCGTCTCCCGACCATCCAGACCGTCGACCCCACCGTGGTCTGGTCCAGCCACTGGCCATTTTGGAATCCCCCGACGCAAACCAAGACACGGCGGCTCCAAAGAATGCGTCGCAACTTGGGGAGTGTCTGCCGTTTCCGCAGCACTGTTTCCGCGAGCGAGGGAGCGCGGAGATCTGCAAGAAGATGTGTCTCAGAGACTTGGGAAAACCTTGAGAGGAAACTCCAGACTTGAGCACTGTCGATGAGTTCAATCATTAGCTGGAGTGAAGAGGTGTGCCGGCCCCCCGAGAAAGAGTGAGCCAAACCCAGAAGGGTTCTCGTCTCATGTCAGGTTCGCCACATGTCCATATATAGAGAAACCAACACAAACAGATAGGTACCACAAAAACCTTGGCTTCTTTTTGATGCCCCTTGGCCATTGGTGTCGTCCTCCGGGGTCCCTCCGGATCCGTCACCGGAACGTGGCTCCTTCGGAGAGCGTGGAGAGCTCCTCCAGGCCTGGTGTCCGGTGTCCGGTGTCCGGTGGCGGACGGAGCCGGCAGAACCGGTGAGGCTACGAACGGGAAGAATAGAGGGGTCGTCGTGGTTTGGTGGGTTTGGTACCATGGACCTACAGTATTGGTTGTACACAACTGCGGGGAAATCCCGCAGTAGGCAATCAACCAAGCAATAGTAAAAGGACATCTATGGTTTGCTGGGTGTTGTAGATCTTCCCCAAAAACGGAAGATCGGTTTGGGACTCATCCAATGTCATCCAATGTCTCCACATTGAGCGCAAACCAATGGATATTCATCTGTTCTTCTTTTCAACCGTCTTTGAAGGGTCTTTCGAGACCCATCCGCCATTGGATCTCCTTTGGGTATTTCACCATTCAGGCTCGAGACCAACAAGAAAATTCGATGCCATGGCGGGGATCTTGACACATTAGATGCCGGTCTTGCAACATGGAGCTGGTCATACTCTACTTCAAAAAGCTCACGTGACGTTCGGATGTGGAGACTTCGGTGTTGGATTCGTAGATCCCGAAACCAGCAGGTGTTGGATTCTGATTCCATGATATTCTAGGTGGAGAATGCCCAAAAACTTGGTAGTTCATGACCCATTGACCACCTTGTCTGGAGACCTCAAGCTTGGAGGTGAGTTCACACCGCGAGCTTCAGCTCAGCACCATTCCCGCCTTCGATACGCGAAGTCTCAACGCTCTTCCAGGGTCCTAAACACATCCACGGAAGCCGGTGCGAAATGGGCCGTGGTCGAGTGGGGTAGGAAACAAGCTGACCTCTTTGAATCGCACTACACCAACCTGCGAGATGGAGAAGGCAATGCTCATGTTATCTCTGCTTCACAAAGTTCTGGAAGGCGATTCACATCTTCACTCAATTCCCCCTTTCATGAAGCCCTCAAAACCTCGCTCACTTAGTGAGCTTATCTACTCCGAGTCACGCCGTCACCACCAGTGAAAGTCCTCATATCCACATCAATGTCCATAAAAAGAATCCGTTCACTGCCACCAAACGCTTGGAAACCCTCATGTATTTCAGGTGAATACCCAATCCTTATTGGAGCAGAATGCCTCGTGCTAGCATTTCTGGATGCCGATTCAGGGAATGCGCGACTCGGCAGCTCTTTTTCACTCAAGAAAAAAGCGCCACTGAAGCATCACCACCCCTGAAGCATCTCCACGGCCCAAAACAAAGAATCTGACGGACAAGGGGGTCACCAGATAACACCCTCAAAACAATGAATCAGTAGGGAGTCACTCTCAACATGTGTTCCAAGCTACTGAGAGTAACCCATTTTTCCTATGCTTCCTCGCCCTACCCAATGAGCCTCGCTCGGTCGAACGCCCAACGTCGCGCCCAGCCTTCACCGGTCTTCGGCCTAGGTGGTGTAGGGGAGGCAGCGTGCCAGGGAGGGGGTGGAGGAGTCCAGGTCGTGTGTGAGTATGTACAGTGGCTTCACAGTAGATGGCCCTGGCACTAAAAGAAAAGGTCTTTTAGATGGGGTCCATATACAGTAAACCGAACTTGGGGGATTCTGCCAGCTACTCTGAAACAAATTGTCTTTGAGTTTCTTGGTGTCCAACATTCTTTGCCTTGGAAAGATCCCAGCGTGCATTTGTTTATGTTGGGAACTGTTGCACGGCACGCCAAGTCCACCATTATCCACATGTTTTTCGTCCGTCCTCTGCCTGGATGCAAACTGGATCGATATCGATCCAAACTCGATGGATTTCCTGTCATGTTCCTGTCATGGACCGCAGCCTATTCCACCTCTTCCAGGCACCCCGAACGCTGGCGACCTGGCCGCAGTGTCCAAGAGGTGCGCTTCCCGAAGAGCGCGCTGCTCCTCTTCGCTTCCGGGGTGAAAGTAACAACACCCGTTTCCACTTGACCGATCCGGGTTGCTCCCAGGCCTCACCTTGTCGTTTCCAAGGACCCCATTCGTCTTTCCCTCACGCAGCTGAAACTCCGATGCGTTCTGGGCAAGACCACCCCCGAAGTTGAAATCGCTCTCGAAAGGTCAAAGTCCGGCCAAGTCACACGCTCCAAACTCTGCTCAACACATTCCCCGCAAAGAAAGACCCTCCAGGCTACTGGGCCAAAGCACATGCAGGAAGCTCTCATTCAAACATCTCAGTGTGAAAGTTTGGAGGTTGGGTCAAGTCTCATCGAAGCGATGCCAAAGCCCCAAGACAGACTGCCAGCTGGGCAAGTCCCCAAAACCATGCTCAAACGAACCAACCTGTGACCAAGTCCCTTTGCATTTCTGGCGTCGTTGATATCAACACTATGACTTTGCTGTATGTTCCAAGCAGCATTTGTGACACCTCAAAGCAAAACAATACACCAGGGAAACCTATATGAATACACCAAACGAATTGTGAAGTCCTGAAATCTTGCTCACGCAATGCTACAGTACTTACTAAATCTTACGGTTTTCAATTGCTTTCCTTTCCAAACGACATCCAAACTCAGTCCTCCTCGAAACGCGCGGCACGAAGTTCCAGGCATTGCTTCTGAAACTCAGCCTGTCGAGGTCGCAGCTTCAACGGGTGCTATCGGTATAGTCATTCCTTTCTCCAAGACCAATTCAGTGGTTGGACTAAAGCGTGTTCATCCACGGAACGTGGCCGTGAACAAAATGCAACGTCGACCAATCGTTTTCGGCGACCAGAGGTGCTCAGCAGCATCGCAAGAATCCCAGGCCTGCCTCGTTGAAATGGCTTTTGTAGCAAACTCCGGTTCCAAGATCAGATAGGGTTGCTGTAATATCATATCATCCCATCGTAAGATCAAGACCACTGTACAAATTCTCTGCAATGCAAAACGATCAAAACGTGAAAGAGGCGACAATGCAACGTTCCACTCCTTGATCGACGGCATTCGACTTCTCAATCATCTTGATACAAATACCCCCACAAAAACCCACTAAAATGCACCCCCAAATTGGTCGCTGTCCGTCTGTCCGCCCCCTCCCACCTCCTGCTCTCGAAGACGCACTTGCATATCCGCATGAGCCTCCAGCAGCCGGCGCGGCAGCGCAACACCCCACGGGAGCGCAACGGGCGGCTTCGCTTCTCGGTGCTGGGTGGACGTCCCAGCTCTTGAAATGGGTGTGACACACAAAAAACACTGACAAACCTGCAGATGTTAGAAGATTTGTGCATTTGACCAGGGGCCCATTTTTTTTGGCCATGGCCAAAGAGTCAAAGAATCCAAAATGGGAACTCTGCTGCAAATACCAAGCGACAAGGAAAGGTCCTCGGCATGTTTCATGGGATTCTTTTGGAACACCTCTGTTTCCCAGAAGCCAGTGCAATTGTTGCAAACCCATTTTTTCGGTGAAATTGTTCTGGAAATTCTATGTCCATGCACAACTCCTTGGAAAACAAACATATTAGATCATATTAGGGGAAACTGGAAAACCAACCTAGTTGGCGCCACGAAAACGAGCCTTTCTGGGCAAAAACAAACACAATATTGTGGAACACACATGCCAAACAAACACATACATCACATATATTTACATACACACACTAGGTACCAGCCTGTGACACGAGGCAATTCCACCCGATCCCGATCCGCCTTAGCTAGGTCTCTTCGCAGCTCTTGGAGCTCCAGCTCCAAACCCTCACGGTCCTGCGAGGTCGGCGGAGCGGCTGCTCGGAGCAGCGTGACCGTCCTCACCTCATGAGGAAGAAGTAACATCTGGCTTAAGGCTCTGGCTCAAGGCAACAAGAGACTCTCTGGGCCTATTAGAACACATCTCGTCTGGGTTTATTTTATCATGTAAAATCCTGTTGTGAGTTCTTTCATGCCAGAAATTCACACCCACAACCTCGCAAATTGTCGCAATCTCGGGTCCTTCCCTTCTTTGCGCCTCGGGAAAAATGTTCGCACTGTTAAACCGCAGAGAAGGTTGAATGAAATGACTTGTTAAGATTGAAAGGCGTTGTAAAGGTGTTGATTGGAGATGATTCAAAATGATTCAAAATGTGTATATTCTTGTTCAATGCAGGTGTTCAATGAAGTAATCGGTCAAGGCCTTTCGGGGCAGGTAGGGCCCCTGTGTCACCGCCGCCCTTCGTTTGGGCGCAAATCGGACCGACCAATTTGGCCACTACAGCACCACGCTAGTCCTGGCCTAGTGTTTTCGGAGGGTGTGGCCTTCTTTATCACCGCCGCCTTCCGTTTGGGTACAAAGCGGACTGAAAAAAGATTGCCACTTAGAGTGTCACGTTGAAAGCTACCGAAATCCTGGAATAATTCGCGTTTGCAGAGGGTGGAGCAGTCTTTGCCTCCGTTTGGGTGGAATGAACCTTACCAATTTGGCCATTTAGAGCATCACGTTTAAAGCTGTCAAAATCCTGGCATATGCGGCATATGTTATTCAGGGGTTGGCCCCTGTCTCAATGCCCTCCAAAACGATGCCAGTCTTCACCGCGTGCGTTCGGCACCGTGTGCGCACGGTTCCGTCGCCGACGCGACGCCACGCATCGGACCGACTGGCTGGGCCCCTTGTGCTGGCTGCCACTGACCATGGTCGAGGCAACTACCCCGCCTCCTTTTGTTCGCGGGGAATGTTAGCCGTTGGGGTCGAAGTAGCAAAATTATCTCAGCAAATATACAGGGAAAGTGGTGACCCAACTCAAGTATGAGTCTCCTTCAATATGCAGGACCCAAATTGTGAAGGCAATGAATAATTGGGTTCATATTTCTAAAGATCCCTAAAGAGACTGCAGCAGGATCCTTTTTTTTCGTTCGACACATCCACCAAGTTCCTTCCAATTTGCGTCGCTCGTTATGGGTTCCCTGGCGCAAGGCCCCTCCCCCCACCCGTGTCCTCTCACCGGGCGCCCCGAACGTGAGCTGTTGCCGCGCCTGCTCTGCCGCCTGGCGCAAGGCCTTAGAGATCGATGTCGTTGACACGGCTTGAAGTGAAGAACGGAAGTCCCGGCAGAGCACTGAGGGGGTCACTAGTGAGTTGAGTGAGCTCAGTGAAAACAGGTCGATCTTCGCAGTTTTGAGGATGTTTTGGGGGGGTCTGTGAGGCCTGTTCTTCAAACTGGCGAGCTGCAACTTCCAGGTATCTTCCAGCACAACATCGCAAAAAGCATCCATGTCTTCCAAATTATCGTGGGCGCAATTGCCGTATCAAGAAGTGGGGAAGTGTGTATTGCTATGACCTCCACAACAATCGATGTTAGTTTGGATCTTGAACTGATGAATGCCCTGAAGAGACTGAAGTCCAGGATGTACAAGAGTAGTAAGTATATAGTACCCAAAAATTGGGCGCTTTTGGCCAAGTAAGTCGTACCTTCGTCATGAAACCCAAACAGTTCAAGCTACCGGTGGATCCAGCGGAGAACCTGCACGGCCCCCAGCTTCAGCAACGTGGCTCAACGTCTTGCGACCAGGGAACCCGGTCCAACGGCGGTGGGGGTGAGGATTGGGGGGCCTGCAATGAAGGGCCAGGCTTCATTGCTGGTCAAGTGGGGCTGGTAATCTCCAACCCCTTTGTTCTCACGGTCCAGTCCTCTTAGTGCATTTTTTGGGTCCTGCTTCGGTGAGGTCAGGAAACAGGAAAGGTTGTGGGTGGGAAGAAAATATCTCAAGCTTTAAACCTTTCTCTCACTCAACTCCTTAGGGTCCAAGGTCCTTCAGCTCATCCTCCCAGCCTCCTGTAGAATTCGGACCATTTCATCCGCATCCTTCTCACACTCGGTGCCAATTCTTCGGAGGGCGTCACTGCTACCAACATGAACCAACCAACGGATATCGTCTGTTGCAAAGAAAATCGGGAACAACGTGGAGCTGCATGGAGCTCTCCCTTTATCAGTTCGCGTCTCCTTTTTTTGTACAAGACCAGGCATCATTGACACCTGTGACCTACTCCATGAGCCTCACGGCGTCCGGCGTCAGCTCGAGCCAAACCACTTCCTTAAGCTGCAGTGGATCCACTTCGGTGACTGGGAGTGGAGCTGGGTTGGCACGGTCCGAACATGTGGAGGGACCGGATCCAGCTGCGTCTCGTAGTCCTTTCTTTGTGTGGAAGAGATGGATGATCTTTACATCTCTTTACCCTGAACACCGCGAAGAGTAAAAACCTGAATGGAAAGAAGACATGTTCCCCAGCGCTCAAGGTGTGTACATCATCTGCATCCTTCACAAGAAGTCAGTTTGCTGATGTATAGCAGGTTGATGGACCGTTTTGCACAAAGCAAGACCTCCCAACCAAGATCGAATTGGCCTGGGCATGACTACAGCTGATCACTGCCTCAACAGCCGATGCTGAACTGCCGTCGTCTCAGTTTCACCCTCCCAGCCTTTCCGCCCACGACGTTTTGCCCAGGCACGCAGTTCTGCATTTTGCGTCCCACGACTTGTCTGAAGAAGCCCGAGTGCCCCACCACCGCCAGCACAGCCTGGCAAGTAGGTTTCGGTTTGAGGGTCTGTGCGGACAGGGGGTTCCACGAAGTTCGTGCCGCGAAGTTCTGCGAAGGTTTCCGGGTTGCCGCTGAGGTTAGTGTTTCTAAGGGCCCATTCCCCGGTCCACATCCGCGCAGCATGTGCATGTCAGAGTCGGGATCCCTGGCCGTGCTTTGTAAAAGCCAGGATTATTAAATGGGTTGATTGACAAACCTGTTGAACTTGCACGTGGGGTCGGTTGTCTCTCGAAAACTCGGATCATTTGGATCTTCACGTCCCTGATGTGCAGTTTCAACTGATACCAGGGCGTGAAGTTCGTTGGAGTCTGATTTCTGAAATCACTGCTAGATTTGCAAAGAGAAATCTAAATGGAAAGATTGATTGACTGATGGAGGCTGAACCTAAGCAAGAAGGTCATTGAACGGATCACGACTGTAGAGATTAGTGCCAAACAAAACTACAAATGTGATTCCAAATTAACCCATCATTCTCTAGGTAGTATAGGTCTGTAAACCTTAGTTTACATATTTGAACTCTGCTATACTAAAGCCCATGTTCCAGTCCTCCATCCTTAAACACGACACCCGTCGATTCTCCGGCAGCGCCTCGGGCCGCTGCAGCAGGAAGTGCTTGAACTCCTCCACCTGGTGGTGCTTTCACACGGCCGATTTGCCGTGGATTCGGAGCGAAAAGGCCATAGCTGGTGCGGCTGATGCGGCTGGCTTGGAGGGGGATGCATCCATCATGGTGAATCTGGTTGTGGGACCGCCTGTTTTCCCAATGAAAAAATGCAAACGCCTTTCAAGAGGTTTTTGTGAAAATTGTGGAACATTTTTTCTCGACCTTAGCATTTCTTTTTTGGACCTACCCCCCAGCAGCTTCATCTTCATGTCGTCCCGTTCTTCCCTCCGACCCGACTCTACCCGTGTCGGCCAAGGTCCCCACACGTGCCGTGGGGGTCAGCTCAGTCCACAGGGAGTCCTCCACACACGTTCATCCACACGATCCGGGTCAATCGGATGATTCGTGTTTCGGAGCTTCGAACGAGGTCCAGTTGTTCATTTGTTTCCCATTTCCTACGAACAGCAGGTTGAATTAGGATGCATAGGTTGTCTGAAAGGCAAAGGTTTCTTGAGCATGTCCCAAAAAATTGAACGAATAAAGACCCCACCCCCCAAGAAAACACGGATAGGGACACTGGAAATGAATCACAGGTCGTGATGCATCCCTTTTCCACATGTCATGTAGAGAAACCGGTAGGGACTGATTTCAGTAGTTAGAAAGAATATGAAATAATTAACTTCAGATGTATTTTTTGCCATCCATCCTTGGTCCAACATAGGGCGCGAAAAGAATTACATGAAAAGGTAACTGTTCAAACTCACATGTAGTGTTTAATTCTTTGCAATGTGGTTTCATTGACCATTACTTGGTAGACGGAGAAGAAAAATTAACTCTGGATCGGATTTTGGGTGGAGCATAGGAAACTAGAAAGGTTTACACCAGAGAATGAACAGTGTCTCAGTGGCACTATTGTCTGGGACACAAAAAACAGAATTAACTTTGGATCTATTGTATAAGTCTGTTTAAAGTCCTCTTGGGAGGCTCGGAAAGTAGGCGAACACTGGCTCAGTGAGACTATTGCTTGGGACAAAAAGAAACCAGATGGAACCCACGAACCCGAATGCAAACACGTACTCGAAAACAAAGCCACAAATTTTGACACTCTTGTAGGAAACACTTTTGTGGGACACTCTTGTAGGACACATTCTGTTTGGAAACCTTTGTGAGACACTCTTGTGCACTCTTGTGGGACACCTTGTGTGACACTCACTCTTGTGGGACACTCTTGTGGGACACTCTTGCGAATCAGTCTTGTAGGACATTCTTGTGGGACACTCTTGCGGGACACTCTTGTGGGACACTCTTGTTTGTCACTCTTGCGGGACACTCTTGCAAAACAGTCTCGTAGGACACTCTTGTGGGACACTCTTGTGGGATACTCTTGTATGTCACTCTTGTGGGACACTCTTGCGGAACAGTCTTGTTGGACACTCTTGCGAAACACTCTCGTAGGACACACTTGTGGGACACTCATGCGCGACACTCTTGTCTGTCACTCTTGTGGGACGCTCTTGTGGGGTACTCTTGCAGGACACATTCGTCGGACACTCTTGCGGGACACTTATGGGACTCGCTTGTAGAGACTTCCTCCAAAAGTCACGCTTCCAGTCTGCAAAACGAGCGTGTCGCACGAGACTTCCAACGAGGTGGAAAACAGAGGTCAACGGACATTGATGGATGCGAGGTCGTTTTGGAAGGCCCGTGGTGCGAGATATGCTGCCCGAACGGGCTGGCATTATTAGCATTTTGTTATTTTGCTGGGTCTCTGGCTCTACTTCTTCTACTGGAGGAAACACTGCACGGACTGGACATGTCCGAAAACTATGTGCTTTATGGTGTTTTCGGGGTTGCGGACAGAAGTGTCCGAAATCCCTGTGTGCGACAGAGATTTCGGGGTAAAGCCTATGGTTAGGTGGGGCACCGCTCATGTCCGAAGACCCTGTGTTCGACACTCGGCCCATGGCACTTACCCTCTTTGGCCGGCGCCCGGCTGTCAGGCGTAAGCCTTTAATCTTCATTCAATATATCCCGTCCTTCCCACAAGTGATGAAAGACCTATCCAAAAATTTTACTCCAAACCGACCGAAAAAACCCAGGCCTAAAACCGAGAAAGAACTAGCGGAACTACCGGGAAAGAACAACACAGTAAGCCCCCCTGAAGGAAAAAAAATTGAACATGAGCCCAAACGATCCAAAACCCCAAGAGTTTTTGCCGGCCTTGGGCCACCACTCATCTGGCAGTTCCTGGAAGCCTTCCCAGCTTTCCAGAGAGGGAAATCGGGTCAACAGCTCCTGGCATCACATGGTCGGCCCCAAAAAGAAGGCGGTGAAATTAGGGATGACATGGATCACATCGGTGTGGACATGGATCACATTGGTGTGAGTCTGCGATGTATTTGTTCTGTCTAGTTTGGAATGGCTCTTTGAGCCATGGAATTTTCATCACCGAACAGGACCTACTCCGAAGTTGGCAGTGCACCTTAGGCATGCCCCCCACTTCCAAAGCACATCACATTCTGCACAAATGTTCAGGAACAAAGACTAGACACGGTGATGCATGCAAAGCACAGTCCAATCTTTTTGGAGATTCTGGCTCTGGTAGTAAAGGACGAAACAGACAGAGGCTGGAGTTTTTGTGAGCCCTCTCTGCTATGCACGCTCGCGGCTCTGCGAGCGTCTGTTCGTTTCACGCCGCGTGCTGCGGTGGTCCCTCTGACCTCCTTGGAGCTGCCGGTGTCACATGGAAAGATGCAACGCCTCGGTGGCACCGCTGAAAAACGTCCACAGTTCAACGGCGTCACCGGACCGGCGAGTGGAGCGTTGGTTTTGTGGGTTCAGTGAGCTTGTGGCAT